CTGTTGATGCTGCAGGTTGCTGGTGTTGTTAGTACTGTTGATGCTGCAGGTTGCTGGTGTTGCTAGTACTGTTGTTGCTGCTGGATGCTGGCGTTGCTAGTACTGTTGTTGCTGCTGGATGCTGGCGTTGCTAGTACTGTTGTTGCTGCTGGATGCTGGTGTTGCTAGTACTGTTGATGCTGCTGGATGCTGGTGTTGTTAGTACTGTTGTTGCTGCTGGATGCTGGTGTTGCTAGTACTGTTGACGCTACTGGATGCTGGTGTTGTAAGTACTGTTGTTGCTGCTGGATGCTGGTGTTGCTAGTACTGTTGCTGCTGGATGCTGGTGTTGCTAGTACTGTTCATGCTGCTGGATGCTGGTGTTGTTAGTACCGTTGTTGCTGCTGGATGCTGGTGTTGTTAGTACTGTTATTGCTGCTGGATGCTGGTGTTGCTAGTATTGTTCATGCTGCTGGTTGCTGTTGTTAGTACTGTTGTTGCTGTTGGATGCTGGTGTTGCTAGTACTGTGGATGCTGCTGGATGCTGGTGTTGTTAGTACTGCTGTTGCTGCTGGATGCTGGTGTTGCTAGTACTGTTGATGCTGCTGGATGCTGGTGTTGCTAGTACTGTTGCTGCTGGATGCTGGTGTTGCTAGTACTGTTCATGCTGCTGGATGCTGGTGTTGTTAGTACCGTTGTTGCTGCTGGATGCTGGTGTTGTTAGTACTGTTGTTGCTGCTGGATGCTGGTGTTGCTAGTACTGTTGATGCTGCTGGATGCTGGTGTTGCTAGTACTGTTGATGCTGCTGGATGCTGGGGTTGCTAGTACTGTTATTGCTGCTCGATGCTGGTGTTGCTAGCACTGGTGATGCTGCTGGATGCTGGTGTTGCTAGTACTGTTGATGCTGCTGGATGCTGGTGTTGTTAGTACCGTTGTTGCTGCTGGATGCTGGTGTTGTTAGTACTGTTGTTGCTGCTGGATGCTGGTGTTGCTAGTACTGTTGATGCTGCTGGATGCTGGTGGTGTTAGTACTGTTGTTGCTGCTGGATGCTGGTGTTGCTAGTACTGTTGATGCTGCTGGTTGCTGGTGTTGCTAGTAGTTGTTGCTGCTGGATGTTGGTGTTGTTAGTACTGTTGTTGCTGCTGGATGCTGGTGTTGCTAGTACTGTTGATGCTGCTGGATGCTGGTGTTGCTAGTACTGTTGATGCTGCTGGATGCTGGTGTTGTTAGTACTGTTGTTGCTGCTGGATGCTGGTGTTGTTAGTACTGTTGATGCTGCTGGTTGCTGGTGTTGCTAGTACTGTTGTTGCTGCTGGATGCTGGTGGTGTTAGTACTGTTGTTGCTGCTGGATGCTGGTGTTGCTAGTACTGTTGATGCTGCTGGTTGCTGGTGTTGCTAGTACTGTTGATGCTGCTGGTTGCGGGTGTTGCTAGTACTGTTGATGCTGCTGCATGCTGGTGGTGTTAGTACTGTTGTTGCTGCTGGATGCTGGTGTTGCTAGTACTGTTGATGCTGCTGGATGCTGGTGTTGCTAGTACTGTTGTTGCTGCTGGATGCTGGTGTTGCTAGTACTGTTGATGCTGCTTGTTGCTGGTGTTGTTAGTACTGTTGTTGTTGCTGCTGTTGATATTGCTATTGCTAGTGTTGCTACTGGTATTATTACTGTTTGTGTTGCTGTTGATTCTTCTGTTAGTGATGGTGGTGGTGGTAGCGGTGATGACGGTGGTGGCAATGGTGATGGTGGCATTGGTGGTGGTGGCAATGGTGGTGATGACGGTAGTGGTGGTAATGACGGTAGTGGTGGTGATGACGGTAGTGGTGGTGATGTCGGTAGTGGTGGTGGTATTGGTGATGGTGGTAGTGATGGTGATGGTAGTGGTGATGGTGGTAGTGGTGATGATTGTAGTGATGGTAGTGGTAGTGGTGATGGTAATGATGGTGGTGATGTTAGTGGTGATGGTAGTGGTGATGGTGGTAGTGGTGGTGGTAGTGGTACTACCCCTGAAGTAAGACACTGGTGCAGCTAGGACTCAACACTGGCTCACTCTCTCCCTGATTTTACATCACCGACTTGTACATAAATTATACTACACGACGTTAAGGTGTCTAGCCCCTTCCTGGTAGTGGTGCTGGTGATGGTGGTAGTACTGCTGGTGGTGGTGACGGGGATGGTAGTGGTGGCGATGGTGGTAGTGGTGGTGTTGCTGGCGGTAGTGGAGGTTGTGGTAATTCTAGTGATGTAGGTAGTGGTGCTGGTGATGGAGGTGGTGCTGGTGCTAGTGGAGGTGGTACTGGTGATAGAGGTGGTGCTGGTGATGGAAGTGGAGGTGGTGGTGGTGCTGGTGTTGGCATTGGAGGTGGAGGAGGTGGTGGTGCTGGTATTGAAAGTGGAGGTGGTGGAGGTGGAGGAGGTGGTGGTGGTGTTGGAGGTGGAGGTGGTGATGGTGCTGCTGGTGGTGGTGTTGGTGATGAAGATGGTGGTTGTGGTGCTGGCGATGAAGATGCTGGTGGTGGTGCTGGTGATGAAGATGCTGGTGGTGGTACTGGTGATGAAGATGGTGGTTGTGGTGCTTTTGATGGTGGTGATGATGCTGGTGGTGATGATACTGATGGTGGTGCTGGTGAAGATGCTGGTGAGGAAGATGCTGGTGATGGTGTTGGTGTTGGTGTTAGTGCTGGTGATGAATGTTGGTGCTGATTCCCCATGCGGCTCTTCAAAGTTTAATTATTCACTTATAATGTTAACGAAGGTTAGTTTACAGTTTGTTTGGTTAAAATATCAGCAAGTAAATACAAACATTTGTACACATACGAAAGCAGGGTAGAGAATGCATATATTTTTTTTCCTGGGTCATTATTTGGTCACGAATTCATAATGACCCAAGACGGAGCCAATATATAATGACCTAAAACAAACACTGTTTATGGGTTTAGCTGTTGTTGCGGCCCCTGCCAAACTAGCGGTTAAATAGTTAACCTGCCGGCCGGCAGTACCACTGGGTGCGTCATCAAACCCAATGTGGGGGCTGCTGAGCAGGCCTTAGAGCAGTAAGAGCCTGAGTGCCTCACGGTACACACCTAAGCAGTAGGTACCTGACCACCGAAGGGTACACGTCTACTGGCTTTAGTAACAGTATGTACCAGAGCGCCTCGCTGTACACACCTAAGCAGTAGGTACCTGACCACCGAAGGGTACACGTCTACTGGCTTTAGAAATATTATGTACCTGAGCGCCTCGCTGTACACACCTAAGCAGTAGGTACCTGACCACCGAAGGGTACACGTCTACTGGCTTTAGTAACAGTATGTACCAGAGCGCCTCGCTGTACACACCTAAGCAGTAGGTACCTGACCACCGAAGGGTACACGTCTACTGGCTTCAACATTAAGTACCTGAACTCCTCAGGGTACACGTCTATGCAGTAGGTACCTGACCACCGAATCGTACCTATCTACTGGCGTTAGAAGAACCGCTCACCGCAGCTCACTGAGTCTGTTGGCCTCAGTTACTTGACGGCCGCATTCAGTGAGCTTGCAGCATGGTGTTCGGCTAGCGGTGTGTCAACCGCCTTTGGAGAGGATTTACTGGACTACCGGTGATGTCTGTGGACTCACCGTCTACGTTGATCAACTGTGGGCCGGAGTCGTCAGATGCTGTTTAGTGGGACATTACATGAAGAAAAGGTTGGAGTGTTACACTGAACTGGGCCAGGACCGTAGTGTGACACTGAGGGACGTACGATGGAGTGGAACACTGAGATATGCACAGGACCGTAGTGGAACACTGAGATGAAAAGGGTGTCGTGGGACACTGAAGATGGCCTGGTTGTAGTGTACACTGAACAGTGTCGTGTGACTGACTTCGTGTCGTGAGAGGCAGTTGATTGTAATTTATTATTATAAAAATGTTATTTATAATTTATTATTTTAGTATAGAGATATATATATATATATAGTGACAGTAGTGTCAAAGTGGTACCCTGTGTAGGGTCACGAATAATTATTTACTATTTTAGTTAGATGCTAATTATAATTTATTATAGTAACATGTACATATTATTATTATATCATAGTTCAAATACCTCTAGACCAAAGATAGTTGATTTTTATATATTAAAGCTTAATTTATTAATGTGTGTATTTATGTATCCCGAACTCTTTATTACAAAAGGAGTAAATCTTAATAACATCTTCATTTAAAAATTACTTTTTTTGTAATAGCTGTTGATCTCATCTTTATTAGCTTATTCTCGTTTTCCTTCTATTCTCACAGGTTAGAGGGTTGGGATGGGTTTGGGTAGCTTAGGGTAGAGGGTTGGGATGGGTTTGGGTAGCTTAGGGTAGAGGGTTGGGATGGGTTTGGGTAGCTTAGGGTAGAGGGTTGGGATGGGTTTGGGTAGCTTAGGGTAGAGGGTTGGGATGGGTTTGGGTAGGTTAGGTTAGCAGGTTAGGTTGGGTTTGGTTAGGTACCTGTAGCTTAGGCAACGATTTGAAAATCTTTAAAAACATATATTTAACCATAAATAAATTTGGCTAAAAATAAGCAGGGAATGTTCAAAATAAGCAGGGAGCGTCCAAAATAAGCAGGGAGCGTCCAAAATAAGCAGGGAACGTTCAAAATAAGCAGGGAGCATCCAAAATAAGCAGGGAACGTTCAAAATAAACAGGGAACGTTCAAAATAAGCAGGGAACGTTCAAAATAAGCAGGGAACGTTCAAAATAAACAGGGAACGTTCACAATAAGCAGGGAACGCTCAAAATAAGCAGGAAACGTTCAAAATAAGCAGAGGATGATCAAAATAAGCAGGGAATGTTCAGAATAACGATGAGAATATTCTGAGTTGGGTGAGTATTGTGTATTCAACATTGCATAACTGGGTGAGTGGTGTATGCAACATGCAGAATTGGGAGGAGTTTTTTTTTTTCTTGAGTCCCTTGGGAACTATGAGTTATTCCTTGAGTATATCTGTGTTGTGTTGCTCATTACCTGTTACTCTAAGTAGGTGTGCTTCCCGCAGAGTGCGACTCGGACTGCGACAGTGAAGGAGACTCTACCAGCAGTGGTGGCAGCTCGTCCAACAGGAAGCAGCAGCAACAGCAACAGCAGCAGCAGCTGAACAACAAACTTGTTCCCTTTGGTGCAGGTGGACCTCTGCTGGCCCAGGCGTGAGTGCTCTCGTTTCAAAACTAACTCATATTTGGGATTTTAAATCGGGTACGCTTCGGTCCGTTACATTTTTTTTTCGGTTTACCTCTCATACTCAATAACACAGACTCATACACCTAGATAATACACGGTAGTCCTTAATTTAGGTAGAAGTAGATAGTTCTCACTAGATAGCATCGGTGCTATTCGTCTTTCTCATGTACTCTCTCATGTACAGGATGGTTTTCATGTAATACTCCGGTACACAATCATGTGTGTTAGTGTGGCATGAACACCATCCTGTGTGCTGGAGTATGGTACGAAAACCATCCCGTGTGCTGGAGTATGACAAAAATTATGCCATGACTTGTATAACATGGACACTTGTTGGCTGATCAAGTTACAGTTGTAAATAACTATTCACAAGAATTATAGCAATAGATTGTATATAGATGTGTATAGAAACGCACTGGATAAGGCACTGGCAAAGTGATTTATTGATTTAACAAGCTACAGTGGTTATGAATATTTACGTAGGCAAAGTTATGGTATTTGTACACTTTTTGGCATATATGATACGAGTAAGTGCACTGAGAGGTGTATGTGTCTGTGTATATACTTTGAGAGTTTACTTTAATCCCCATATTAGGGTTTAAAATATTCTTAATCTTAATTGGTGGTGTGTAGGTTGACATGCAGCCTTAATTAATGATCCTCTTGTAAACGATAGGCTTTAATTAAACGTAATTACCCAATCTTGGACGTTAATGAGTGAGTTGTTTATAAATTCCTGGAGGTTTAGTAATCCTGATGTTTTTCAACAGGAAAATTTCTGACAGTCAGCACGACTTCTTCATGATGCTCGACGAGAAGATAGAAAACGTGAGTGATGACTTCAGTGCCGGCCTTGTTTGTGTGTTTGAGGGTAGGGTGTACGGGTGGCCGAGTCACCAACTTGAAAAAACCTGAGCCGGGACAACACCGGCGAACCTACAATTGTGTACGGGCCATCTCACTCTACCTTGGGCATTAGTGATAAATTCTCCCAATATTTTTTTGTTGGGTGGGAGAGGCTCCGGAGGGCTATGTCGAGGTTTTGGTGGGATGTCAATGAACTCAGGTGGGGTGTATAGGTGTCCCGCTCTGCTGGGGCCTAGGCAACGGTAAATTTTTCTTCGTGTTTCTGTTTGAAATGGAACTCCTATTCAGCTTTCTTTCATCGCCCATCTTTGGGCAATCCTTCTTTTAACCATAATTTTTAAAGGGGTGGAGGAGTAAGCTAGCGGAAGGCCTCTGTCAGATGGCCAAAAGCTCCAGTGGCGGGTCATCCTGACAAATCTTACCTAACCTAACCCGTACACTGGGAAGTAAGGCTCGATACAGGGAAAGCTGTCAAGTGGCTGAGCTATGATCCCCCTCTCCGTGAAATTATGTCTACGCCTTCAAGGCGAGTTGAGTCAAGATAATTTCAGTTGTGCCTTCCATTCCTTCCCTGCAACTGGCAGACCATGGTCGTATGGACCCCTACTCCATCTGTAGAGGCCACCACTCCCTCTACTATCCTCCTGTGACTGATGACTCTCAAACGCCCGAGAGCCAAGAGTGTTTCCACATGATTACATTAATTTCCGGGTTGGCCATGTTAGTTACATTCGAGCGATAACACGTTAAGAAGTGAATTAAAAAAATTAAATTCACTTAATTTATTTTTCAACAAATAAACAATATGGTCCATTTTAAGAGTTATTGGTTGTCATAATAGGTACGATAGTGAGTCATAGTTAGTATTAGACGCTCTAAAACGATAAAAAAAAAAACAAGGTGATGCTGAAGACAAGTATGAGAAATTATATGGATGAATTTCACAGGTACAATTTTGAATTAACATTTCACACACATAACTGGGGAGAACTCTGGTACATCTAAAACAGATTACACTTAATGATACTAGTTGCACCTCGGAGACGGGTGGGACTTTAGCAACAGTGGGTCCCATCACTGTCCATCCTTTGATGCCCATCTCAGTTCCCCAAACTCACACATCCCGACCTTATATTATGTGAGCATATAGTTGTTGAAATAAAACAAATATTTCCAGCCAGTAACACTGGCTGTATTAAATTTGGTTGTGGGCTGTATATATTACTGAAAAATTACTTTGCCTGACAACTCTAAATTTGTTGGTTCACGGTTTCCACTGATTATACACCATTTTCATATTACATAAAATGAAGTGTACATAAATGCAGAACATAATTACTTACCAAGGTATTATTTTGGTGATATATCCAAACGCCTCCCTAGCAGGTAGGTATGCAAAATGTTGGCCAATACTAGATACCTTACCTGTTTGGTGAGTTGATACCATATATAAGGAAGCGAAATTAAATTATTGCATGTACAAGCGATGATCAAAATGTTCTATCACCGCGTCCAGTATATCTTCATTATCAGCCTTATCTTGGCCAGATTACTATGTATCTGAACCCTAAATAACAAAAAAAGGCACAATACCGTGACTGGAATGATACACAAATAACCCGCACATAGAAGAGAGGAGCTTACGACGATGTTTCGGTCTGACTTGGACCATTTAGTCACTTTGTAAATGGTCTAAGTTGGACCGAAACGTCGTCGTAAGCTCCTCTCTTCTATGTACGGGTTATTTGTGTATCTGAACCCTTCCAGATATTAATTACATTCACTCATCTCATGGTCCCCAATTATTGCCGATACTCTTCGTCGGCTTGGATTACCCACGATCAAATTATGCAACACTCCCCAGTTAATAAAGACGTTCCGCCATTTTCGTTGCTCTCAACGTTTTGTCTACCAATACATCTTTTCAATTAATTTAATAACACTTCCAGGTGTGTGCTACATTTTTATCATAGAAATATTAATTTCCTCTAAATTACAATAATTTTCACTTTACTTATTCAACTCCTTGCAAAATATAAGGAAATAATAGGATATTAGTTCTCATGTCACAGAACATCTTTTAAAAGTCACTGAAGATACATACCTACACGAAATTTTATACACACTATTATCCCTAGCAGTTCTTACACACAAATTACAAGATTATTGAAATTTTCCACAACAGGTGTAGCTGTCATGTGCCCCCTCGAGAGGTTCCTTGATGCTGGTGAGGGGCTCTTGATTTAGGGAACTGGATGTGTACTCCAGTTCCCTGAACTGAGCCGGAATATATTCCATCATCTTCCCCCTCCCCCCACAGATGCTGTATAATCCTACGGGTTTAGCGCTCCCATGATTAATAATCCCCTAACAGGCGCTGTATAATCCCAGCGGGTTTAGCGCTCCCCAATAATAATGTCATGTCTGCAACTAAACTTCAGTTTTTTTTTTTTTACATACAGGTTTGTTCAGCACACTTTGTCAGGGAATTATTATTAGTAGTAGTATTAATTATTATTATTATTATTATTATAATCACGGGGAACGCTAAACCCGTAGGATTATACAGCGAGTGGGGGAAACTGGAAGGTATTCAGGCTCAATTCAGGGAACTGCAGCACAGATCCAATTCCCTAGATCAAAAGCCCCTCGCCAGTGTCAAGGAACCTCCCTTGAGGGGTTATTATTATTAAGGGGAGCGCTAAACATGTAGGGATTATACAGCACTTATTGCAGGGGGGGTGGGGATGGATTATTATTATTATAATAATCAAGGGGGAAGCGCTAAACCCGGACGATTATACAGCGCCTGGGGGGGATGTGGAAGGCATTCAGGCTTAATTCGGGGAACTGGAGCACAGATCCAATTCCCTAAATCAAGAGCCCCTCACCAACATCAAGGAACCTTCCTTGAGGGGGGGGGGGATGGAAGGCATTCAGGCTCAATTCAGGGAATTGGAGCAGAGATCCAGTCCCCTAGATCAGGGCTCCTCAACTGGTGGTTCAGGTCCCAATCCTGACCTTGTGAGTGTTGTGGTAGTTGTAGCGTGAACTTCGGGAGACAGCTTAGTTAAATAACAGGTGTTACCAGGTTCATGATCAGGTGGTAAACAAGATTGGGATTAATACATTATTCTATCTGAATGGAATATATACACTGAATGTAATACAGTATTCTAGCATAGCTAAATAGTTATATTTTCTTCCATTCAGTGGTAATTCATATTGGTAATTATCACTTGTGCAAAGTTGACTTTTGTAGCATTTTGGAAGAAGTTTGGCCACATATGTGCTGGGAAGTTGGCGACTCTGTTGCAACCTTCCCCTCAAGGAAGGTTCCTTGATGTTGGTGAGGGGCTCTTGATTTAGGGAATTTGATGTGCTCCAGTTCCCCGAATTAAGCCTGAATGCCTTCCACATCCCCCCCAGGCGCTGTATAATCCTCCGGGTTTAGCGCTTCCCCCTTGATTATAATAATAATAATCTGTTGCAACCTTGAATTTCGGCAAAGGTTGTGCAGTTATGTTTGTGCAAGATATAATTTCAGGTTTTCTCATTTTTTTTTTTTTTTTGCAAGTTTAATTTTAATTTGCAGTGCCCATGTCTTATGAATATGTATGTTGGTGGGGTATTTAGTATTGAATCATTGTGATCAAATTCTTCACATTAATGTTTAATCAAATTGGTTAAAAAATTTTCATCATTCTGGTTGTTCTTAATTTATGTGGAGTGGATATAAAACCTATTTTATTTTAATAAAAACAGATAAATTTCAGTAATAAATACATTTCATAATACAGAGGATAACTGCTTCACCAAGCTTGTGTTTATTAAAGTAAATTCATTGATATTTTCATATTTATGATACTATTATTTTAGTCTAAATATGACTTCTAGTTTTTGGGTTTCTTAATGTTCCAGATATTTATTTCCATATCAGATGATTTGTTTTGCTAAACTAGTCATATCTTTTTAAAGGAGACATGATATGTTCAAAAAGAAGAAAGTTTGATAATGAAAACGGTTCTTCAAGGAAGAATGGATACAGTATTCTTTCATTCTTCCCACAAACATTTCTAAGCTCCTTTGCCTCATATGTAATGAAACAATTGCCTTAGTGAAGAGCAGTAATATGAAATGCCATTTTTTTTTTTTTTTACATAATGAAACATTATGCAAAAAATGTATCCGGACTTTTGCATACATTGGTACTTTTCCAAGTGGACATTTGCTCATAGTAGTTGAGTAGCCCTGACCTAAATCAAGAGCCCCTCACCAGCATCAAGGAACCTCCCTTGAGGGATGTGTCAGTTAAAACCTGCACATTTTAGTGTATTAAACATTAGTGACTTGCCATACAGGTATGTGCGACTAATATGCACCCATCTTAGTGTGCAACAATCCATGATTGTAGTGCATCATCTTGAAAGAGTACTGTGTAAGGTACTTATTGTTGCTCAGTGAAACTACTGATTACAATATCATATAGTAAGGGAAGGCTTAAGCCGTTGTAGATTACAGTTCTCTGTTGTATATACAGTGGACCCCCGCATAACGATCACTTCCGAATGCGACCAATTATGTAAGTGCGTTTGTACGTGTATGTTTGGGGGTCTGAAATGGACTAATCTACTTCAAAATATTCCTTATGGGAACAAATTCGGTCAGTACTGGCACCTGAACATACTTCTGGAGTGAAAAAATATCGTTAACCGGGGGTCCACTGTACTACTGTATACAAAATTTCAAAGTAATGAATACTGTTACTATTATTGTATTGATGGGGAAGTGCTAAACTTATAAAGATCTTATAGCTCCTTGGATCAAGAGCTCTTACTAGCACCAAGGCATTGCCTTTAAGGGATATAGTATTGTAATTTTAAAAGATAATTACAGTACTGTATGATATGTACAGGTTTAGCATTTTTGTGAGAATATATCATTGTCTGATACTATTATGTACAGTTGAGGAGTATAGAATACCTGTACTGTATTTATATACTGTATAATTTTAGTTTGTATGAATATTGTATGCTCATGATTGTTGTTGTTTTAGGGTCCGGATTATGACTCTGAGACAGAGGAAATGGAGCGACGACGGCGTCTGCAGGAGTATGCAGAACAATGGGTGAACCTCGCCAATAACAGGGGAGGCCTTACATTTTCTGCCAACCCGATCCTCAGGTATATGTCTGCCTTACTACCCATTTTCCTTAGCGTATATTTACACCCTTTGATCCAAATGTCTGGAGTTCGTCTGAAGTTCCTCTAAAATCTCTCTGGGTCTCCAGAGTTTATTCAGTGTCTTCTTAAACCTGTAGCATTGTTACTTTTTGAGAAATATTTAGAAAAAACAACTCATCTCTCCCCCTTCATCCAGCAAGAGATGGAAAGATATTTAACTATGATTATTATAATCATAACCAAGTGCTGCTATTTAACTGTGAATTATTGGTATTATATCTACTACACCCATAGGGGACAGCACCAGAATAGGTGGTAATTAGATTTGAGCCAAGGAAAGGGAGGATAACTGATTCCTTGGTTCATCTCCAAACCTAAAGTGCCTTACTTTAGTTTAATTATAGCTTAACAACTCAAAATGCATTGTACAATTATGGGTCCCTCTAAAAGTATACAATAGATTATCTTATCTGATTTATTTTAATTTATCTGATTCACTACAGTTCCAGGCCTTATGTCAACATAAACTCATACTTCACAATACAGTACTGTATCTTTAACATGATATATAACACTGAAAACTGAGGACAGCAAGACTCAAATCCGGGCTTCCAGTTTGGGAGTCTACCATGATACTATATATACAGCAGGTTAGGTTCTGGGCTACTGCTGTAAAGTGAAATTCACTGTAAAATTTTGTCCTTAGCTTACAGTGAGTGGTAAATATATTTATTGTATTGTAGGAAGTCTGAATAAATGAAGAATGTGTATAATTGAAAACCACTGCATCAGCAAAACACTGTAAAAGTGGGGCCTGCCTGTATGTGCTATGATAAGGGATTGTGATGTGATTGGAATGCTTGTTGAATATGTCAGGTGGTGATTAACTCTAGACTTGTGCTGAGAATTACTTTTTATTTAGTATGTATCCCATCCCATTACTCAGGTGTTTGATAACATAGTCCATTGATCCCTAATACTTTACCTTTAGCACTCAATAGTAAAAAGAGACAAATGCAGTATAATGTGATCCTTTATTGATGATGCTTCACTTTCCAGTGAGCCTTATCAAAGCATATTTTTCCACCTGCAGCACTCCTTGATTTTCAGAGTACATTATGTACTATATTTATTATTGTGAATTTTTACTTTGTATTGAGGTATATGATAGGAATAACGTCCTGTGTTACTAGGCACCAGTGATGGGATGTTGAGCAAAAAGAATGATTTGGGCCACCAGTCTGGGGATTATCACAACCCAGTACAGTATGGATGAAAGGACGCAAGTGCATACACTGAGGACATCTTTATTGGAAATGTTTTGGTCCTGGGACCTTGGTGACTCCAAAGGTTCCATAACTGAAACATATCCATTACTGATGGTATCATTATGCTTTTTTCTTATAGTACAGTACAGCTAGCCCTCCACTTTCGCGAGCTTCGAACATTCATGAATGCCTAGCCAAGTGTTTTGTTCATTATTTGTTATTAAACCATAACATGTATATACAGTATTTTGCGATGTTTTCATGTGTTTTACGATTGTTCATGGTTCAAAAGGTTAAGGAAGCAGTATTGTCAGGCTAAGTAAATGCTCTTATTATGTATTTCCTTACAATATATTTGCGCGGTTCTTACAATATATTTGCGCGGCGAGGTTCTTGATCCCCTAACCCTCACGAATGTGGAAGGCCTCCTGTATATTCAGTAAGAGTTATGGATTAAGAAACATTGCAGGTATTCATGGTTTCTATGGTAGAGTGAAGGACTTCCATGCTGGAGACTTTAATTTGAGTTCCACAGTATATACTCCTTGATTTTCAGTGTTACATTATCAAGCAAGATTTTCACAAATTATTTTTTATATCTACCAAGAAAGCTCAAGGGTAGTAGGTATAAAGGATAAACAAAACATTTGTTCAATTTCCATGCAAGTTATCAAAGGTGACCTGAAACTATAACAGTTATGAAGACTTTGTATGATACTCTATCTTTTAAAAATTCTGACCATATAATTTCACAAAGTTTATACCCCTTCTTTTAATAAGCATGTTAAAAATACTAATATAAGGGTCATATATACATATGAATGGACAAGATAAAACTGCATTAAGTTTTTTTTTTTTTTTTTTTTTTTTTTGTAGTGGGCAACATAATCAGAAATCCACATATACATATGTGCAGTGGGTGAGGTGTTTGAAAACAGTGAGGTTTGACATTTTAGTTATTCAAAATGGATTTTTAGCAGTAATAAAAAATAAAACATTAATCAGATTTAATAGTACAAAGATGGACAGTTGCAAGTGTAATGTTTGATTTAGAAGTTTTATAGTAGAGAATGTACCGTCCTAGAGGTTCATGTGTACTAGCTAATTAGGTAAAAAACTTTGTAAAAATCTCAAGACAGGCAGCACTCGAGTAGACTGCATTCAGCCTGCAGGCCACATGGTGGATGCCTTCAGCCTAAAATATAATAAAAACAGATTTGTATTTTTAACCAATAAAAAATGTGGTATACTGCATTATTATTATATTTAACAGGGAGGCACTAAATCTGTAGAGGTCATTCTATGCCTGGGAAATGGGAGGCAGTCATATTCAGTCCAAGCAAAGAAAGGACAGGTCTAATTCCTTGGATTAAGAGCCTCTCATTGGCAGCCTTGAAGGATGTAAGGGTTACTGAGTACAGTGGACCCTCAGCTAACGTTAAATCCAGCTAACGATACATTTTAACCCCAAAATTTTGCCTCGGCTAATGCTAAAAAACTCACCCAATGCAATTCGTTCGAGACGCGTCCACGTGTGGCCTGAGCGCACCTCAGTTGTCCCGTGAGTGCTAGTGTTTACAAGCCAGCCAGTGCGGTCGCATCCACGCATACAATCGGAGCATTTCATATTATCACAGCGTTTTTAGTGATTGTACCTGCAAAATAAGTCACCATGGGCCCCAAGAAAGCTTCTAGTGCCAACCCTGTGATAAAAAGGGTGAGAATTAGTATGGAAATTAAGAAAGATTTTGAATGGTTTGGGGCTAACCCTGAGATGCCTATGCCAGTTGTGGAATCCATTGTGCCTACTTCAAAGATTAAGGAAATGTGTGCAAAGTGGGTTGAACTGCAAACCTTTATGGATGAAAATCACCCTAACACAGCTATTGCAAGCCATGCTGGTGACTATTACAATGACAATGTTGTGGCCCATTTTAGGCAAATCTTAAAGGAATGGGAGGTACAGACCTCTATAGACAGATTTGTTGTGCGACAGAGGTCCAGTGACTCTCAAGCTGGTCCTAGTGGCATTAAAAGAAGAAGGGAAGTAACCCCAGAAAAGGACTTGATACCTCAAGTCCTAATGGAAGGGGATTCCCCTTCTAAACATTAACAACTTCCACACACTCCCCTCCTCCCATCCCATCAATCATCACCAGATCTTCAGTAAAGGTAAGTGTCAGTTTGTGTGTATTAAAATTAATATTTCATGTGGTAAAAATTTTTTTTTTCATACTTTGGGGTGTCTTGCACGGATTAATTTGATTTCCATTATTTCTTATGGGGAAAATTAATTCGGCTAACAATAATTTCAGCTAACGATGAGCTTTCAGGAACGGATTAATATCATTAGCTGAGGGTCCACTGTACCTGGAGAATGGGAAATACCATACAATAATCATGTTTGATCTGAGGTAGAGGAGAGAAGCTCCATTTCCCAGGAACAGGAGCCCATTGCCGGTGTCACAGCACCTGTCTCAAGGGAGCTGGTTTATACACAAAAATACAGTGGAACCTCAGTTTTCGTTTGCCCTCGTTTTTGTTGAGTTCAATTTTCGACTACTTTTTTTGTCAAAATTTTGTCCCAGTTTTCATTCATCACCTCAGTTTTTGCCGAGTTGACAGTGGTCCACCATGTGTCTGCCCATGCCCACACAAAGCATCCCACGCGTTCTGAGTCAGTCTGACTTTGTTTCTCGTCGGTAGAGGGTGGTAGTGGTTGTGATGGTGGTAGAGGGTGGTAGTGATGGTGGTAGAGATAACATCTCCCCTCCTCGCCATCTTCCATACACCAACAAGTGTCTTCAATAAAGGTAAAAGTGATGTTAAATGTTCATTTATCTATTTCATTAGTCCTTTAGTATATTTATTTCTCACTGTTTTCTGTATGTAAAACTATAGTTATTCTTTATAAAATGTATTTTTTGTTAATACTTTTGGGTGTCTGGAATGGATTACAGTAATTGAATTTACATTATTTCTTATGGGAAATATTGCTTCAGTTTTCGTCGAAGTCGGTTTTCATCAGACTTTCTGGAACGAATTAATGACGAAAATCGAGGTTCCACTGTACAGAAATAATCCACTCAAAGCAAGCTGGTTATAATTCCATGTCACCTTTAGATTTCCTGTATACTTGGCAACTCTTGAAAAATGTCTTTTTAAATCTAGATGAAAGCATGGGGAAAATTTTGCCTTCAGTTTCTTCTTGAGTTTACAAAAACACATACACCACCATACCATACATATTATTACATTTAGGAGGGGGAGCACTAAGCCAGTAGGAGTCATACAGTGCCAGGGAAATGGGAGGCAGTTAGAGTCGATCCAAGGAAATGAAGGACCATTTCAATTCCTTAGATCAAGAACCCTTCAGCAGCACCTTAAAGGGTGCACAATCCATAGTACAGTACTATTGTGGATTGAATAACCTTACACTGTAGTTACAAGACTGTAGGTGCATTAGTTTGCATCTTAATACTGGTTTTGTAAAGATTTCAGTCAATTCCTAATGTTGGTCAGGGTATGCCTCACTAATGAGGTAGTGTATATTGAACCACAAGGAAATAATCGGTGAACTTCTTATTGCAGAGGTACCTCGGATAGAGGATTCTGCATAGTGACTAGTGGGACCAGCATCCCCCAAGCACACCCAAAAGCTTCACCAGTGGTGCTAAGCAGTGTAAGCTCAGAGTGGCACACACTAGATATGTAGCACTTGATGTGATGAGTGACACTTGCACCTGTACTGTGACCTGTACAGCATGTTAGCACTGCAAGGAACCACTCTGGTGGTTTCACCTTGCTCAACACGCTCACTTCAAACTTGCCCAGTTTTCTAACTGCATACATTGTAATTTGGTGACTTGGATGAAAGGATTGTTATTCCATGAATTAATTTTCAAAGCATAGAAATGCATTTCCTTATATATTGTTTGCTTGGATACCTAGATATTATCCACCTTCCTTCTCAGTGTTTGCCTTTTCAAATGTAAATTGAACAGAATAAATATACTGGTATATTTTTTATTGTGTGTGTGGGGGGGATGGGAGAGGCAGGAAAACTGTCATGTCTGAGGACAATGTGTGATGTGAATAGTATGCAGAAAATTCATGGCTTTGAGATTAGGAGGAGGTGCAGGATTACTAAAGTGTTATCCATAGTGCTGAAGAAGGGTTGTTGAGGTGGTCCAGACATTTAGAAAGAATGGAACAAAATAGGATGACTTAGAGGGCATATGAATCTGTAATGGAGGGAAGGCAGGGTAGAAGTCATCCTAGGAAAGGTTGGAGGGAGGGAGTAAAGAAAGTTTTGAAGGGCTTAGACTATATATAGCAAGCATGTGTGAGCATATTAGATGGGAGTGAATTGAGGCAAGTGGTTTTTATGACTTGATGTGCTGTTAGTATGTGAGCAAGGTAACATTTATGAAAGGATTCAGGGAAACTGGTTATCCATACTCAAGTCCTGGAGGGGTAAAATACAGTCTGTGCACTCTGAAGGAGGGGTGGGGATATTTGCAGTTCTGAACTATAGTATCACTGTGCCTCTGGCAAGACTGATGGGGTGATGGATGTTGAAAGCGGTACTTCATTTTTGGGTCACCCCGCCTCGGTGGGAGACGGTCAGCGTGTTAAAAAAAATAAAATATTTCATCAAATCAAAATATTTTTCGTGTGTATTTAATACATATATTGTATTTACTCTAAACTCTTTAATAATTTTTTCTATAAAATAAAATATTTAAGAAAAGCTAATCAAAATTCCAAACATTTCATCAGAACTTGTATTAATATTTAGCAAAGGGTTCATGCCAAATTTGCTCAGAGGGATGTTTATTACTGTTATGTTCATGGGGAAGCACTAAACTCATAAGGGTCATACATCACCTGGGAAAATGGGTAGCAATAAGATTTGATCCAGTGGAAGGTCATGTCCAATTCCTTTGATCAAAGAATCCCCTTACCAACACCAAGGAAACTTCCTGGAAGGAAGAAGGATGTATAGTACCAGCAAGTATGTCAGCCTTGTGTGTGTGTATGTGTGTGATAATTACCAATCAAGCTACTACTATATCATGTAAGTTCAGCATTGTATTCACTATGCATTGTTCTTAATGGTTCATTAAGAACTACATTGATCTTTTTGTAATTGTAAATAGTAATATTTGATTAGTACAGTAAACTCTCAATTTATGGACCTTAATATGACAAGACTTCAAAGACTGGGCAAAATCTGCTCTGTAAATTGCATTCTAACTCCTACTACAAAGTAACTGAGTTGTGTATACAGCACTATTTCAGGTATACAGTAGATTACCTAGGTGCTTTTTTTTTTCTATTTTTTTTAACATATTCTGATTTAAGGACAATGAGGCCATCTGTATTAGTCTATTATATGGAGGGTTAACAGTCATTTTGCAGACATTTAAAGTTAATCCTAGGTAGTAGGTTGGTAAACAGCAACCTCCCAAGGAGGTACTACTGTACTGCCAAGTGAGTGTAAAATGAAAGCCTGTAGTTGTTTTACATGATGGTAGGATTGCTGGTGTCTTTTGTCTGTCTCATAAACATGCAAGATTTCAGGTATGTCTTGCTACTTCTACTTAGGTCACACTACATGTACATGTACAAGCATATATATACACACACCCCTCTGGGTTTTCTTCTATCTACTTTCTAGTTCTTGTTCTTTTTTATTTCCTCTTATCTCCATGGGGAAGTGGAACAGAATTCTTCCTCCGTAAGCCATGCGTGTTGTAAGAGGCGACTAAAATGCCGGGAGCAAGGGGCTAGTAACCCCTTCTCCTGTATAAATTACTAAATTTAAAAAGAGAAACTTTCGTTTTTCTTTTTGGGCCACCTTGCCTTGGTGGGATACGGCCAGTTTGTTGAAAGAAAGAAGAAGATTTAAAGTTAAAATTGCTGTAACCTGAACTCCTGAATAATCAGTTAACTGCAAAGGAACACAATGTTATGTATTTACTTTATCATGGTTCTAGTAGTTTACTGGGCCTTTGCACTTTTGTGGATGATGACTTCATCAGTTAGGTTGTTGGTGCTTACAATTCATAGTCTGATGTATTATGATTTCATTTATGGAAGTACCAGACACTTAGGGGTCATTCAGTACTGCATGACAAAGGAGTGGCAGAGGGAAAGTAGAAGTGCCAAGAGTGAGCACACAGTAAAAGTCCCAGTTGATACAACAGATCACTCTTAAAAATCATGTAGAATCTGCAGTAAAGTTGGAACTAGTTAGAGTGGAAGGCAGGTAAACAAATTATGGCACTGAAATGGAAGTAAAAAATGTAGTTGCAGTGCTCTGATGAGAGTAAAATCAATAAAATATGTTGAGCAGTCAGCATGACCTGGTGGTGCTCAGTTCCTCTCTGAGATGAAGAATGGCCAGAAGTCAAATTGTGATTTAATAAAAAGCAGCTTATTGATGTTGGTTACTAAAGTAGACTAACAAATTATGCAAGCAGTCATGCCAGTGCTACTAGGTCCCCAGACACATGTTGTAACTGATGAATGATATTGATTTCCTAAAGCCACAAGCTGAGGTGAAGTTTCATCTTGGCATTAATTTAGTTGCAAACACCTTTGCAACACCATTACTCTTGTACTCAGCCTTGTCCTTAATTTCCTTTATGAAATGCACCATTGACTTATTAATCTGACAATGCCTTGCAACCAAAGCAACAAGTTACCACAAGCATGTCCAGCAGTTGCACTTTCAACTAATTTCATCACAAGAGTTCTTTATCCAGGTAACAGACTCAACTTACTCACTTTTCTAATACTTGGGAGCCATTATGGTTCGGTAATATCCAAGGATAGTGTGCTAGATTATTTGAGGGATACTTGTTATTATTACTTTAATATTGGAAGCACTAAACCTGTAGGGGTCATACAACATCTTGGGAATGAGAGATAGTCAAGCTTGATCTAAGGGAGGAAAGGTCTAATTCCTTGGTTCAGGAGTTCTTTTACTGGCATCAGTGACCCTCCTGTGAGGGTTTGAGGGATATGGTTGTATGAACCAGACCAAATTTGCTGGACCTATACAAAATGGGGCTACAATATATGCATGGCAAAATATGGGTAGCACAGAGTGCAATGCAAACTGCAGGTTTGTTACTGCTGAGAGCCTGTGCCGATTTGTGATCCAAGGAACTGGAGCTACTCTTACCATTATTGGATTGAACCTAATTACTTCTTGTTCTCCAGGTGCTGTATGACTTGCATTGGTTTAGTGCTTCCCCACTAACATGAACATATGACCTGTGATGCCCAGACTGGCACTGACTTCTTGTATCCCTTGTGATGGCCAGTGGGTGCACTAGTTATTCACAGATTGTCTCATAATAAAAGCATTAATTTTGTGAATGAACATTCAGCAAATAATACGACCCTCACTATACACAGATCTGTGTCCATCAGTGTAGTATACTACTTGGTGGTTAACAAATGATAAAATCAATTTAACCCGTAAACGGTCCAAACGTATACTATATACGTTTTTACCGCTAGTGCCCCAAACGTATATATACGTTTTATGTGTCCTACATTTAACATTGCCACAATAAGCCTGAGTTGCCTAGACATGTGAGAATGGGTGTGAGCACTCACTGTGCACCATATTAAAATAATTGGGGATGCCTGGGCACCATATGCTCTTTTTTCCTATTAAAAACAACAATGTTTTTTCCCTCAAAAAAGTTGGGGCAGTACGGTAGTGAACGTATAGATACGTTTGGACTGTTTACGAGTTAAGTGCTAAATCATTACAGTGGTTATAAAAATTAAACCTCTTAGAGTTGAGGGACTTCACCTGCTGAGGGAATAGGCAACCAAGCAAGGGCTGGTAGGAGTTTTGCATCTTTTATCACAGGAAGCACTTTGCACTGGAATTCTCCGTAATTTGAATATTCTTCAATGCCAGCGCAAAAAACAAACATCTTCATTTCTGCAAAATATAGTACAGCACATACATAATTGTTATTTAGTCCCTATGCTTAACTAACACAAGGTGTTCATTAGATGTAAAGACCTTTATGTCTCATAATAAAGCTGTGCATTGGTGGCAGGTCTAGAATTGGCTTCTGATTAGCAAACAGAGCAGCTGGGAATCCCTTATCCACCATTTCCATTGAAGGGTATCTGTTGACATTGACTGCTGGGCAGTGGCGGCTTGTCCATAGGAGCTGCAAAGCTGCAATCCCCCTAGATGCTCACTGCCATACGTATGACTTCATCACTCTTGCGCTAAAATAATTTGCAACTGACAAATGTATTACAGGAAAAATCAGTTGTATGTTGTTGTCAATGTATTTATAAATGAATTTTAAGTTTTTTTCTTGAAACGTGATAAAAAATTATTAAAAACAGAAGTTTGATGCTGTACGATAGTACGTATAGGTATTACTGGCATTACGAGTTGCCACTGCTGCTGGGTCGACCCCTACCCCTTCTTTCCAACTATGACAAAGTTGCTGCCCCAGGAAGAAGAGTTATTTTTCTGAATAAATATATCAAACTCGTCACAGTCACTTTCACTGTCAAAATGAGTTTCAGCAAAATCACAGTCCCTTTTCCACTGGGCACTTTACATAAAAGATGCTTGATTGGGACCGAAATGACAAGAAAACACATGAGCAGGACAAACGAGCAAATATGTGCATATTTGCAATATACAACAAATTATATAATGTTGAATATCAGTGGTGTACAGTACCGATGAGGTGATAAATTAAGATGTGCAACGTTTGGGTAACTTTACTATGTAGATGTTTTACTAACTGTTGGCTTTATCAATACAACACAAAAGACTAGAGAGGTAGAAGATGAAGTAATCAGTCCCTCAGAGAAGCGGGCATTCAGTACTGCAGTCTTGATGAATCTGAAGCAATGGCAGGAAAAAGTGGGCTTATATTGGGGTCATATAAGATGAAAGCATTTGTCATTGGTAGGCGGGATTTCCTAGTGGAAGTAGATCATGCCCAAGAGTAGGGCCAGGAGTAGCAAGTAAGTTATGGAGATGTCTTTTATTCCAAGATTCCATGATGTTGCTGTGTCTCAACATTTAGCTGAAGGTGTTTACATTTGACTGCCCAAGCCAGTGAGATACAATGAAAAGCCTGTGTCATAGATAATGTAGCTCCTAGAAGTCTTGTGATTGGTCTGGCATGCATAAAAAACTAAGTTTCTCGGAATGCATCACTTGGTTCTATGGTGCCACGAATACCATGCATTTAGAATACCACACATGGTGCTCTGCCCAGTAAAGGGATTAAATACAGTATCACACACTGTATATATCTCCGGTCATTAATTTACATAACAGATTTTATGTTCAACCCACGAATGCCTAATATAGTCAAAGATTGATGTTAACTACCAAATAGTTCTGCTACATATCTGATGAACAGTGTACACACACACTTTTCACTATTAATCACATTTTGAAACAGGATACCATAGTTTGCAGAGTCTGACATTTCAGTATAAACTGCAGAATATGCAGTGTTTAAAATTTATTGATTTTATTTCTTATAACAATGCACTGTAATTCCAGACACCCTGATGAGGACACATGTGGTTCTGGTGATATCACAGAGGATGATGAAGATGATGATGGACTCAACGAGCCTGGACGAATACCAGATGAAGCTGTGCGTGAGCAGTACATGTTCATGGGCAATCTCTATACACTCACACACATTCGCACTGATGCTGACAAGACTGAACCCAAAGTGGATGTGGTGTCTGTGCCAAAACAGTGTCCAGTGGAAGAAATGAATGTAGAGGATGTTGAGCTAGGCCACAAGCTGAATGGGTCTGCAGTCCCAGAAGAGTCAGAAAAGGCAGAGAATGGTGTGGCAGATGGTGGAAGTACAGATAAACCTCCAATGAGGCCATCTAAACCATCCTCAAGACCTGCTTCTCTTATTCTTAGATCAGTATTCCCAGCAGAGAGTGTGCAAGACTGACCCACTTTCCTAGAGTGTGAAAACCAAGCTTAGTACATGACCCCACAACAGGGTACATTTTGTAGCCTTCAAGGCTCCATAAATTATAATTTTGTTACTAAAGTCATTTTAAGTCAAAGACTACTGTATGAAGTGTTAAAATGCCTCCAGTGGACTATACAAGCTTCTACTGCAGTATAATGTGGTTATGTTGGTAGTGCCTAAATGTATGGTAACACTGCCAGGGATACACTGTCATAGCAAGCACCCTGGTGCACTGACAGCTGCTGTACAAACTACTTGTAATCATTTCATTAACCAAATTAAAGTATTTTCTAATACAAATTCAGCTCTGTATGTAACCAGATAAGTCAGAAAATTGTATTTAACTTTGGCAAATTAAAAATATATTAATTTTAAAGAATAAGATTCTTACAATGCAAACAGACCAACTTGGTGCTTATTGGATTCAACAGCTTGAGTAAAGTACAATTTTATTGCCAGTGTGATTAACAATAAAGATTTAAACATGTGCATAAAGAACCTAAGTGTTAACTAAATCATGTCATATGTTTGCATGTGGCTTTAGACTGTATTAAATCAAGATACACAGATGTTTAAGTGGTTCAAATCACTGTTATATGTTGTATGTTAATTTTCTTCCTGTATTTTGTGTGCTGGTTAATGAGTCCATGAACATATTACTCCTCTCTTTTGGGAATGCCTCAGATTGGCAAAGCTTAACTGCTGTTTAAATACATGTGTATCATTAGTGATTTTTCCTTTTTTTTTTTATACAGTACGTACAGCACTGTTTTCCTGGTCTGTTTCTGAAAATATATTAGGAACTTTAATAAATCCCAAAAATAAACACAATAAACAATATACTGCATAAACCTTACAACAAAGCATTTACTTGTTATATAATGATTTTAGATTTTCTCTTCCAAACTCTTTGATGCAGTTATTTACAGCTATTATAGAATATTTAAGTATCATCTGGGATAGAGGTCTTGGGAATGGCATGATAGGTGTAAAGATTGCTAAAAAATAGTGGGGTACTAAAGTGCCACACTTTGAGTGACTCAGGGTGGTGCAAAGAAGCGTTGGCTCTGATAATATATAAGAATCTAATATTTTATATTAAGCCACAGTCAATATATATTATACTTGTACACTAAAGCAAGGAATATTTGTACTTCTTGCAATCTGTTGCCCACTCGCTCCTCTAGGTGCTTAGCAAACAACAGAATTTCCTAGGAAGAACTCTCTTGAAACCTCAAAACCCCATTAATTTGTAGACAAGACACTGGTGCATTGCTTTCTGTGCATCAATCTTGATAATTATTATCAGTGACCAGCATGCAGAATAGGTGTAGAATTATGACTGTCAGTAACTATGTAACTGTAATAAGTTGGAATTTATGTAAATACGGGATAAAATAAACAGACTGGGCTCGAACCCATGGCAGGAGAGTCAAGACAGGATCAGGGCAGGTCAGCCATGATAGTCTGTGCCCTAAAAATAAATAAAAAACGTTTGTTGAGAGGTGCCATCATGACCTAGCTCTCCTCTTTCTTCTTTACCTTCATGTTGAAAACATGGCAGGAAGATCTGGTTTATTACCCAAAATCCCAGACAGATGATTCTGGGAAAATAGTGCTTTGCTGTATACAGCACTGGAAAAAATTGAATAAAACTAAAAACCTCACATACAGATGTTAGAAAATACTGTAATAGCTCAGTTTCATAATGCAAATGTTAATTAACATAATTCTTTGTTATTTTAGGTGGTACTTGCAAATGCTAACATTCTAGAAATATAAAATATGTTGTATGGTTATTGTAATATGAAGGTAAACAAGTTCTGGCTATAATAAATTATGAAATACATAGCTTGACTACAGTGTCATAGAAAAATCACCAAAAATATTTATTATATAACCTTCAGTGTGCTTAATTATATGTACTTGCTCTGAAATTACATTACAGTATCTAACATATTCCATTCTACTTCTGTAACTGTTAGTAACATCAGATAGCTTCAAAAATGTATGAGAACCTAGTTGCTTAATGCTGATGTAATACTTTATGTTATTTCTATTTATTTTGATAGCGGGGGTAATTTAACTATTTTCAGGTTAAGAGTTGAAAAAATTATGTATAGTATCTAATTATAGATTGCATTTCATTCATTGTTAACCTTCTGCAAATCAAACAGTGCAGGGAGTGAGGGAAGCTTGATCTTCAGTCTACTACCTGTGGCTCAGTCTTTGGCCAGTTAGGCTGTTAGTGATTGCCTAATAGATATTGTGACTACAAGAGGAGAGCGAGTACTGTAATAACTGATTCTGCCTCAAGAAAGGTTTGAGCAATAATAAGAGGATTAGGTGCAGTTATGGTAGCATGATACTTTATGTATTAAAGCAAGTATTTTTAAGTTATAAGAAATATGCTATACAATGAATGCCTTACTTAAAGTGGCAGAGAATTTATTTTAACCTTATGCTTGCTATTAGAGGTGCTTCAAATGGTAGTTAAGAAATGGAAGAACTGCATATGAAATACCAGTGTTTAAGATTTAAAAATTTCATAGTACAATAAGTAATGCTTGTTATCAGATGTTATTTATTAAATAAATATGTCCTGAGTAACACTTCCCATGTTATGAGTGCAAACCACCCATATTAAATGTGAATAAATGATCAAAATGAAAAAAGTATATAAGCAATTATCACTATCATGTTGTTGAGTCAGGGCTGCAACAGACCCAAGCAGCTCCAAGTCAGTTTCACTGCTGTGAGGTTGACCATCAGCATGCTTTTGTAAATAGAAATGACAATTCAAGTTAATAATTTAATTAATAAGATGAAAAATTTGAAATACAGTGATTGCACCGTATTGGATTAAACATTGTTATAGTATTTCACTAAAATACAGTATTACTGATTACTGTACTCTGTTATATACCAGCAGTAATTAATGTAGTGTATTTAAAAAATACACTGCATTAATCATTGTTATGACAAATTGTGGTACAGTGAAGAATAGCTGCATATGCATGGCACTGGCCATCCTGTTAGATAACATCAGTATAAATGCTGTACAGCGCCATCTAAACACGTGATTTATGGCAACATGTTAAGACTTGAAATTTTAAACAAAAGTGAGATAATATAGTGTCCATATATAATTTTCATCACATTTTCAGTGATAGAAATAAGGGAACAGGGAGAGATTCATGTGTAAACACTGCAACAGCAGTAGCCTAGCTTCACACATGCTCTTATCACAAAACACAGGTTTAACAGCTAGACTGATGCAGTGTATATATGTAAGTATGCACAGTATTGCAGTACTGACATTATATTTACTTTCTTTCATTTTAATCCTGATTATGCAAATGGAAGTAGATAATATAATGTATAAATATTGCTTGCCTCACTTTTCAGGTAGGAAACTGTTGACTGACTCTAATAAGGCTTTGCTTTTTTCAAAAGTGGTGATTCCAACAATACATGTGTTACTGCTGAGTACATGTCCAAGTATATAAATGACACTGCAGAGTTGATTGTAATTAAAGGTTTGCATTACTAATCTAAATTTAAAGTTCAGATTACCAGTACAGAAATGTGCATTTGCATCGGCACTGGTAAAGTCCTCACATAGACATCCAGAACCTGTGACTCCCAGGGTAATAAATAATTTGTTTATAAATATTTCTAGTATCACATTTTAGCCCTGATGATAAAGAGGATATGCAAAGGCCATGTGTTGATTGCAATGCAGGAAACAGCTAATTTGGTTCCATATGTATATGTATAAATACACACATTATCATCACTTTCTTCATAAGATATAAAATCTCTGCATGAACTGACTGCTGATGCAGAAAAAAAAAATTTACATACATTTATGATGACAGAAAATATACCATTGTTTTATACTTGGGGTTATGGAAAAATCCAAGTGCAGTATCTTGAGTAAAAGCATCAACTACTCCTTTCAAATCTTATGGCCAGTAATAGATGATATTTATTCAAGTATTAATGTCATAATCATGGGGAAATGTTAAAATTATAAGAGGTCATTCATCACCTGGGAGAGTAGAAGTACAGTAATTAGATTTGATCTAAAGATAGGATAGCTCCAATACAATAATTATGTAGCTTTGTATTATGACACATTTTAAATTTTTACTATAAATTTGTCAAGCACTTTGTTTTGAGAAAGAGCAAATGACAGTAATGTGTGGTAGAATGGAAATATTTTATATACTGTATGGAATTATTTTACTTAAAATTCTCTCCCATTCTCCTTTGCAGTACATAAAGTGAGATATTATTATTATTATTACATATATATAATGAGGTATTATATATAAACCTTTAAACAAAGGTTTATATATAATACCTCATTTAGTGAAGTCATATAGCAATACATTTTTTTAATAAGTGAAAAAGTGTGGAATTCAAAAGTTGAGTCATGGTAAGCTATTGCTGGGGATTTTTACTCTTAGCAATTCAACCTTTGTTAATACTGTATATAAAATCTGCAGATATTTCATAAATTAAATATTTCTTCTTTACCAATGCAGTACTTGGATAATGACCCATGCTGTGTGTTATCACATTATTTCATATATTCGTAAGGAAGAGCTAAACCCAAAAAGGGTCGTACAGTGCCTGGCATTTGCTGTCATAAAATATATTCACACTTTCCTTTTGTAAAATGAATAAGTATGAAGCACTTGAACCTTCATAAGATACTAAACTAAGAACTGCTTTCTGATACAGTAATTAGTTTATAAGGGAACACTAAGTTTTCTGGTGCTATAAATATTGTGTGTATCCCAAAGTTTAAATTACTTTAGGGGCTATTAAAAAATATGCATTTAAGCAATTATAGCTCCTCAGAGATGGAAAAAATACATAAATGAATTCCAGATTTAATGATTAAAAATGACTTAGTAATTATAAAAGTGAGTTGATTAATGTGTAATGGTAGAATTGCCAACCTGATAGATGATGTGATTATTCTGTTACCCGTAACCACATATTTTAGGTCACTAAACTCAGAGTATGATCATTTGAAGTTCTGAGATACTTTTATTGCATGGCAGTTATTCATGTAGTTTCAGCATCAAGCCACATGACAGTTTATTTGTTAAAGGGGGTCAGATATAAAAAAAAAAAATTATTAAGCATTAAATTAACTCACTTGTTAAATTTCCTGTAAATATTATTGATGATTGTAGCTTTGAGTGCAATTTTATTTGTACAATAATATTAAACTTGTTAAAAATATGTAGAAATTTGTACAGTATCCTGTATATGTTTATAGTTGCAAAGTTTGATTGCTTCAGTATTAAAAAAACATAATTTGTTTATGTAAAGGTTTGTACATTGTTTATGGGACTGGATATATACCCAGGAAAAATTGCCTGTAAAGTTGTAAATATATATACTGATGCATAGGTTTATGTATATTATCTTTATAAATGTATTGAGTATGTTTGTTAACTAAAGTCAATTAATTTTTATAATTTCTCTAAATTCTAGTAAACTAGAGAAAAGATAGTAAAAACTGAATATGGTTATACATTACGTGTATGTGCTTCATTTATGTGTGCATGTAACCCTAAAAGAGATTGTATGAGCATTGATTCATTAATTTTGACAATGTAAGGACACATTTCTTAATGGCAAGCAGAACTGGTAATGTGTTAAATGTCACCCAGCATGATGTATACATGGTGTGTCATTCTATTCTTCAGAAGCCATGGCAAAGTTATATTTTCCTAATTCATGCTTTAGTAAATTTTAAAAGGAATATTTTTTTTAAATTATGGTCCAAAAATTATATGAAGACTACCATTTGTGAAAACTGACAAGGCTGAAATTTGCTTTGAAACAATCCCTTTGTATCATATATGGAAGATTTTTCCATGCTGAGTAAAATTATGTTGGTTTTGTACGAGACCATACTTACCATATTTAAGGATTATACAAACAAAACTTATGGATATAATTGAGTACTTTGCAAAAGAGTGGAGTTCAGTACTCTAATGTATCACTAAAATATGATGCTGTAAGTGTTGTGTTACAATTCTCTACTTAGAGGATGGAAAACAAAGTCTGATATTTATTATAGTTTTCCCTAACAAGATATAATAATTTATCAGTATAAAAACTTGTGCCAATGATCTTGGCCTTCTGAAATAGTGTGATAATTCACTATTAGTTCTTCCAAAACAATGTGAATACTGTATTTACTTACAGGAAATTAGTGATTTCCTCTTTTATTTTGACTGATTATGACCTTGAACATAGCAACTGGAGATCTGAAACTTGTACATGACCATTCAGTTTCTCTTCTAAACTTCATTGTATTTCCTTGTATCAAGTGCTGGTTTGGTTAAAATATGAGCAATCATTGATCTGAAATGCATATTTGACTTTTAGAATACAGTACTGTACTTGCATACTTAAGGTATCAACCCTTGTGATGGGCTGCAAGTTCCGGGTGAACATTTATAAAGTGTGCTCAGTAACTAGATGACATGTGGTGTAGGACAGCCTATTAATAAAGAATGCCTTCCATTTCTGGAATGGATAATAAAGCTTTATAAAGAATATGGACAAGCATTACAAGCAAGTTTTATTTAATTTTTATTACATGGATTATTTTTCCTATTTGTCTTACTACAAGGTATCAATAGTAAGGGTGGAAATATCCTTGCCTTCAGAGCACTGTTTGCTCATCACTGTTGTTGATATGCACTTTTATAGTAAATAAGCTTTTAAATCTGAGAGTTAAAGATATTCACAACAGATTTTATCAGATATTTATACAATATTTGAATTACTAGCATTAATATGATGTTTAATAAATTTACCAGGTAGGTTGTATTTAAATGTACCCAGTTAGTTGCTACTGATTAGTGTACCCATGAATATTATGTGCTACTCAAGTTGTGGAAGTTAAGAGGAGGGACTGGCTCAACCTCTACCATAGCTTCAATCCTCTAGTGGGGCCTTAATCCTAGACAGAGAGACAAATTTTCACACATTAGACAAGGAACAGAAATTTTGTCTGAAATTTGTATGTTAAATTGGTTGAAATTCAACACTGTTTGTATTACAGCTACTTAAAACAAAGTTTAACACAACTTCTGCTTAATGGTTGTGTAATGAAATGAGGCAATCTGCAGCACAGTTTTTAAATTTTCCTAGATAGATCTGAGATTCTGACTAAAAATGATGTGGGTTGGATTTTTTTTTATCTTAATAGTACAGTAATTTCAATAGTACAATGCATGGCAAAGGCAAGATGTTGCTATTAAGTCATGGTTGTTCAAATGAGCATAAATGTAATATTTTATGACACTTTTAATGCTTATTCATGAGGTTTAAATATTTAGCTTAAAATCACAATGTATGTTTATTACATCAGATGATGACTAGTGAAATTTAATAAGTTAAATTGCTAATATATATTTGGGTAAACTCAAAAAAGTCATTCAAATTATTAGTTAAAGTAAATGTACAGTAGAATGAATTTATGTAAATTTTATATTACTGTAATATATTTCTTAATTTTATAACAAATTACTATTATACATGCAGTGATTATATCTGTATCTGATAGCCAGTATGTTTATGGTAAAATTAAACCTCCAAATTTGCATGCTTTATTTATCCATTTTTTTTTTTTACTGAAGGGTCTCTTGTGGCAAGTTTAATTTTGTTTTTCATTTTCATGGTGCCCATTTTGATGAGGCTTGGTGCAGAATCCCTGAATACAAAAACAGTTGCAGGAGTTCAATCAAAATGTGTTTGATAAGATGTTTTTTTTCTTTCTTTTTTTTTTATAAAATCTAATACAGTATTTCATTTATTTTGTAATTTAAAGTTCTGAGTGTGAAGAGTAACCACATTATTTCTGAGCACTATGGGTAATCCATGTATTTTTCAGTGTATAGGTAACCACACCTAAACACTAGAGGTAACCTCCCTCTCTCTTTAGGAGCATGAGCAGTAACTCCACTATTTCTGAGTGCAAGGGGTTAATGTGGTATTTCTGAGCAAGAGTGGTAACTATAATTTCTGAAAGTGATGAGATTCTGCACCAATTTTTAGTGGGAGGAGAAATCAGGCCATTTTTGAGTGTGAGGGGGTAATCGTACTATTTTTTAAAGAAGAGTTAGCCACACCACATCAAAGTGCAAGGGAGTAACAGTACATTTTATGAGTGCTTGTGATAACATTATTTCTGAATGTGAGGAGTTATGGCATTTCTTAGTGTAATGGTACCATTTCTTTGACTTAACAGTGCCATTTCTAAGCACAAGCGAAAGCTATACACTATTTTTGGGTGCAAGAGGCACCTGCACCTTTTTTTTTTTATCCATTTTTTAGTTAAAAGGAACCACCCTTTTTTTCTGAACACAAGGGGTCACTGCACCATTTCTGAGCAAAAGTCAAGTGAATTATTTTTGAGTGCATAGGTCAGCAATCATTTTTGAGCACGAGGGGCAACTACCATTTTTGAGCATGAGGGACAGTGCTATATTTTTTGTGATTGAGGGGCAACTACACCATTGAGCACAAAAGGTAACACCAGTATTTCTGAGCATGAAAGATAACTACACTATTTCTGAACTTGAAGGATAACTTTACTGTTCTTTAGTGTGAAAGGTAGCACAGGAAAACAGCAGTAGAAAAGAACCCTTGATTTAAGAGACCAGCATGAGGGAAGGATGAATCACAAAATCGTAATGACACGATTGAGACTGATCACGGGTTCTATCCCCGCTCGTGGTATGGTTTCTGAGGAAAGGAGCATTTATTAAAGCCAATTGTCCATTAAATCCTAATGATGTGATGGTGTTTTCCTTGACTGTAACAATAAAGGACATTTTTGGATTCAGCGGACTCTGTTAAATCCAGAATTGTCCATTAACCCTTAAATGGTCCAAACGTATATATACGTTTTTTCAACATCTGAAAGTATGTAAAAAAATGCAGATCTTTTTTGTTTTACATCTGAAAATGTGTAAAAAAAACTTTTACCTACCTTTTTTTTTTGTTACATTTGAAAATATGCAAAAAAAATTAGATCTACTTTTGTAGCACTATGAATTTGAACGTCGATCTGTTTGGACCGTTTAAGGGTTAAATTTAGAATTTTTGTATTTAATGGACTTTGTCCCATGAAATGCAAACAATTTACCCAGCAGACCACAACAATAACAGTGGATTTTTCCATTAACCCTTTCAGGGTCGGCAGGCCCTCTCCTAAACTTGTTCTCGGGGGTCGGAAATTTTTCGAAAAACAAAATAAATTATTTTTTCTTATGAAATGATAGAGAATCTTTTCCTGAGCATAATGACACCAAAAGTATGAAATTTGATAGAAAACTTAGGGAATTATGCTCTCGTGAAGTTAGCGGTCTTGACGATGTTTCCGCATCGGCGATTTTGCCCGCTTTGAGCCCTATTTTTGGCCAATTCCAATGTACCAGTAGAACTCCATTTTTTCTGTCGAGTGAGTACAAGAAGCCACCCATTTACCGATTTCAACTATCCAATAAAGTGGTCAGAAATTCGCAATTTTACCAATTTCACACAAATTTCAAAAGATGCCAATTTCCAAATAGGGTCCAGAATAAACAAGCCAGACATTCCTGGTGCTAAAATAACATTTCCTATGTTCATAAGTCATGTCCCCAGGCCTCTGTTACATTTCTTTTGCTTTCCACTTTGAATTTTTATTCTCACAAAAAAATAGATTTACTGTTATGCAGACTACTACATTAGTGTAGAATATCAGCACACTTGTGAAAGAATATCAAACTCGCCGGTTGACGTGTATTGGACGCATGGCATGATTTGTTTACTTTTGAATTTTGACAAAAATCGAACATTTCTGCTACTTTGAGCTCAATTTCAAGGTACTTTTCATTGTGAAACCAATTAAAATCTCTCAATTTCTGCAATATGTCTTCCATTCTATAAAATGAGACCAGGAAAACTAGAATACAACCATAAATACCATACAAAAATAGTACACTGCAAAGCCGGTTTTAAACCAAAAACACGGTCGGAGTTTTTTCTCTCTCATTATGCACTGTGTGCTGCAAGATTTTTTTTTTATACTGTGCACACTGACCACATAGACCCATTCTTTCATATGTAGGCCTACCAGCTTTCTCTCGCTACATCTGAAGGCGCCAGAATTTATGCGTACTAGTACGGCACCGACCCTGGCGTGCAAGCCGTACTAGTACGGCACCAACCCTGAAAGGGTTAAATTAAAAATTAATTTACCTAATAAACTATACAAAGAATGGACTGTTCTAGATTTAATGAGTACTCCATTGCTTCTGGACATTCTCCAGACACAGATTTTGTCTTTTAAATCCAAAATCTTCTGAATCAGGGTCTGTTAAATCGCAGTTTAATTGCATGTCCTTTGACTTGAAAATACCATACTAGGGTATGGTTATTCCTTGTGCTAGAAATTGTGCAGTTGTTTACCCCTCGCACTCCTTGTGCTCAGAAATTCTGTGATTACACCTGTTGCTCAGAAATGCTGCTGCTACACATCACATTCAGAAATACTTTAACATTTCTGCTCCAAGTTAGTGAGGTTATCCTCTCACACTTGGATATAGTGTAGTGCAGTTGACACTTTTACCAACGAATACTTTTACCCTTTGCTTTCAAAAATACTGCAGTTATTTGTCACATTCAGAAGTCCTGCTGTTACCCTTCACACTCAAATTGTGCACTTGCTAATTGTGCTATTATCTCTCATGCTCAGAAATAGTAGTTACCTCTTTCAGGCTCACAGTGTGGTCACCGCTCAAACTCATTGCAAATCTGAAAGAATTTTTTATAATAGACAGAATTTAGTGTAATGTTCCAATTCTGGTTTTGAGGATCTCAAAAAATGCAAGAATGCAAATTTGGGGGTTGCACTATACAAATAAAGTACATACCACAATTATATAATATTATTGTATATACATTTTTTGAAGCCAAGCTCCATGATAAGATTAATAATGTTAGAATCTAAGATGCGATTTCCAAAAAATGCGCTGATAACAGCCCCAGAATGTTATCCCTATGTGTGTGTTTGTGTGCCTCCGTCTAGGCTACAGGACCTCACTGTATGTGTCTGTGATCGAGTCTGTATCAGTACTAAGTTTAATATTAAGATTATAAGTTATGGACTACTACTATTTAAGTGTTGACTTTGCCAAGTCTGTTGTAAAGGTAAATTTATTAAAGGATATTAGCAAATAATGATAACTGTTGTGCATTGGCTACTGTATGATAAATTCTCAGTACAGTACCATATTAAAATTGTATGCTATGTATGTATTTATTAACCATACTTACATTTACGATATGTGCAAACACACACTAGAATTGGTTATTCACTTCATGCAAGATTGTTACAGTACTTTGTTGAAAGAATGTCTTGGTCCTCCTTGATGTCTACTTGAACACTTCCATGAATTTAAGGCTTTATTTTTTAAACTTGTATAGATGACTAACATTTGTAAGATATCTAAGACAAAAGTATATCTATATACAGCAAATCACTTCAGTGATTGCTGTTCCTGGCACTAGTCTGTTACATGGCAATAAGTTAATTTGTGGTATGCAAATAACTGCTGTCCTGTCAGTCATTAGTATTGTGTGATTTATTGTTATCTACCGGACCTAATGATTGCTGATGTACTGTTGGCTGTATAATGTATGACATAAATGACATTTCAGATGTTTGCCTACCATATCAAGTTAGACAGATGTCTAACATTAGACAGATGTCTGGTGATTCAGGTGTCTAATAAAAGGTATAGAAAATAATATGATTAATGAATGATGACTAAATACTATAGTATGTATGTATGATAATTTGTTCAGCAAACCACACACCAAATTGTTAGACATACAGGTTTATTCTTTAAGCTTTTCAAGAATGGTTTATGAAAATAATAATATACAGTGGAGCTTTGGTGCTCGAACTTAACTGGTTCCTAGGTAGCATTCAAACTGGAAAGTTCAATGTTTGAAACAGTATTTCCCAGGCTTTATCAGCCCCTCACACAGATGTTGAACTGACTCTTCCAAAAGTCTCTGAGAGTTAGGTCAGCATCAGAGGTCACTTACAGCACTTTTGAAACGGCTTTCGTGTAAAGCTTCTTTACAACTGAATTTTAAACAAGCCAGCACATTTGGACTTCAGAAAAATGTTCAGACTGGGTTAATTTTTTCTGAACAAAACTGTTCAGATTCCAGTTCATTCAAACACCAAGGTTCCACTGTATATATTATTTTTATGGTGAAGCACTAAACCCTCAGGAGTCATGCAGCACCTAAGGAATGGGAGGTAATCAAATCTGATCCAAGGAAGGGGAGGGTCATTCCAATTCTTTGGATCAAGAGCCCTCACCAATATCTAGGTATCTCTCACCTTGAATATAATTTTTATCAAATGACAGTTGTAAATTTATTAAGCAGGGCACATAGTGGGCACACAAACATTTCATCCAAAGCATCATGCTACAGATTTTTCAGTGGATTAGTTACTCCCATGATTGGATATTAGCTGTTTACCTAAGGCTCCATATGTTTTTTACACCTTTAATGCTTGTGGATGTTTATGTACAGTACAGTACTTAGTTTGTTCCCTTGGTAGGTACTCTATGTTTTTTATTCAGCTCATTTGCTGCATCCTTAGTTCCTGTAGCACAGTGGTAGTATGTATGCAATAAACACGAGTCATCTGTTGATTTACCAATCACCATTTTTTGTGTGTTCTTGCCATTTACTCCTTTGATCAGACTTGAGATATGTGTATGTTATTTCCAGTTATACATAACAGATAATGTGATCATTTATTTTTAATTTTCCAAATCATACATGGATACTATCCCAGCTGTAAATTTACTTATCAAAAGTTATGGGAAATATATCACTGGCTTTTGCAGAATGTTTAATTAGCCAATCATACAGTTCCTAACCCTGGAGACAAGTTATATATCTTCATCAGACAACAAGAGATGGTTGTTCTGGATCATTCACCATTTTGTCTAATCCTTGGAGTTGGATATTTCATGTATACATACAGTATATGTATTCCTTTATTATTCATAATTCTTTCCTTCATTAGAGTTACAGCTATTGGGAGATTTAAAACGACAGTATTCTTTTTTACAAGGCAGTTTGTACCTGATGGGACAAATTTGGAAGCTGATTTATGATTTTGGAGAGTTAAAAGTGATCTTGTCCAACTTCTTTTTTGTGTACCATGTATTCTCATTGTCTCTATGACAGCTGCAAGCTTCATTATCTCTCTGGTCCAGCAGTTTCTCTGGAATTTGGTATGATCTTTGTTTCTGCTTCCTTCAAGAGGAGCACCTTGACACTGAATTGTTCTTTATCTAAGGAATTGGAGCTACTTTTTCCTTCCTTGGATCAAACTTGATAGCCTCCCATTTTCTAGGCATTGCATAACCCTAGTTGGTTTAGTGCATCCCCATGATGATAGTCTACATTTCTGCTCAAGACTTAAGTGTGGAAATAGTTCTAGTGAATTTTCCTTCCTAATGACTCCAGTTTGATAGAATTCTCTATATGATTTAGTTATTAAAATTTTTTTAGAGGAACGTCTTGTGAGAGTTTCATTGTCCCAAGGTGTCCTATGGATGATTCTGAAATAGATAAGTGTTTTCTACTTTCTCATTGTAAGGTTTGCTTTGGTTAGGTGGTATATTGGTAAATGTAATTGTTATTATTACTATATTATTATTATTATAAAAAGTTCTAGAACTGTAGGAGTCGTATAGCACATGGGATATGGGAGGCAATCAAGTTCAGTCTAGAGGAGGGTGGGTCCAATTCCTTGGATCAAACTCCCTTACCAGCTGCAAGACACCTCCTCCCTGAAGGATATATTAGTAAACAGTTATGTACTATAGCACTGAATCAGGAACTCCAGGTTATCTCTTGTTTGAATGCCTGTGTAATCACCTTGTTTGCTCAGTTTAAACTATGACCATTTTTGTTAATGTGTTTACTATAATTTTTTTATTTATTTTACAGAATGCAGTACAGTGGACCCCCGACTTACGATATTAATTCGTTCCAGAAGGCTATTCGGGTGCCGTTACCGAACAAATTTGCTCCCATAAGGAATATTGTAAATTAGATTAGTCCGATTCAGACCCCCAAAAATGCACTTACAGAAGCACTTACAAAAATACACTTACATAATTGTTCGAGTTGGGAGCTGTTCGTAAGTCGGGGGTCCACTGTACTTATAATTTTTTGGGCAGTGTAGACTTATTCATTATATTTTAGTATTAACCACATTTACAGCCTGTTTTATTTATCCTTTGAGCATTGTGATTATTGGGAGCATTTATTAGCTATTTTTTATTTTAATATACATTTTTGTTACATAATGAAAGCTTTTATGCTAGCCAGCATGCTGACAAAGACTTTTATTTCCTTCTTAGTAATAAGTATTAGGTTACATGCATAGAGTTCTTGTGATACTGGGTATTGAGGTTAATCCAACAGACAATACCCAAAAATTACTGGGATATCAAAATGCTAGAAAAGCTTTCGAAACAGCAGCATTTGGACCACAGCAGATAAAAGGCGAGTGTTAATCAGGTTAAAGTCTATAAACATAGCTAAGGCAGAGATCTACTACGTGATGACTAGATCCCTGACTCCGTTGGGAAGGTACAAGATGACAATGATACATTGAGAAAGGTGCTAAACCCACGATTATTATTACCTCATTATATAGACAGCTCTCAACTTAAGCAGATGTTTAGTTTTGCAAAACCTTGAGCAAGGCAAAATTTGCTCAAGTCTACAATTACAGTATTATACCTAGAGGATACCTGGAGGGGGTTTTCGGGGTCAATGCCTCTGCAGCCCGATCCATGAACAGGCCTTGCAGTGGATCAGGGCCTGATCAACTAGGCTGTTACTGCTGACTGCACATAAACTGACACACAAACCACAGCCTGGCTGGTCAGGTATTGACTTTAGGTGCCTGTCCAGCTCCTTGAAGACAGCCAGGAGTCTATTGGTAATCCCCCTTATGTATGCTGGGAGGCAGTTGAACAGTCTAGGGCTACTGATGCTTATTGTGTTGTCTCTTAGCATAGTCATGGTGCAACTGCTTTTCACTGAGGGAATGTTGCATCTCCTGCTGAGTCTTTTGCTTTTGCAGAGAGTGATTTTTGTGTGCAGATTTGGGACTAATCCCTCTAGGATTTTCCAAGTGTATATTAGCATGCGTCTTTCTTGCCTGCATTCCAGGGAATACAAATCAAGGGACTTCAACCATTCCCAGTAATTTAGGTGCTTTATCGTACATACTTATATATGTGTGGTGAAAGTTCTCTGTATATTCACAAGGTCTGCAATTTTGCCTGTCTTGAGAGGAGGCTGTTAGCATACAGCAATAATCCAGCCTAGAGAGAACAAGCAATTTGAAGAGAATCATCATGAGCTTGTCATCTCTAGTTTTGAAGGTTCTCATTATCCAATATATGTTGTATTTGTATACAGTTTAATTCCAGAAGTTTCTCATTGTATCATATTCTGTGCACTGCTTAGGTAACATTAATGCATTTCTCATATGGTACAATACAGTACCAATGTACAAATAGTGCTTTCCCCATGAATATAATTTACGTACAGTAATAATACACAGTACTACACAATACACTGCATTATGCCGCCCCTTCCCCACACAAATATACCAAAACACAAACTCATACCATGAAAGATTATAATATATATATTTGCACACTTACTGAGGTTTTAATACTTGGTGCTGCATCCTTTATGCTTAATCACATCCCTCAGCCTTGTAGGAAGACTCTCACAAAAATTCTTGAGGGTTTGGGGAGGTATATCATTCCATGTAGTGAAACTTCTGGTCAATAGTGAAACTTCGTGTCACTATTGACCAGAGGTTCTCAATAGGGTTTAGGTCTGGGGAATTGCCTGGCCAGTCATTAAAGAACCTCACTTCACAGTCCTTAAGCCACTGAACTACAAATCTGGAGGTATGACACTGTGCACTGTCCTGCATAAAAACCATAGCCCCACACTTGTCCAACACCTCAGGTAAATTGTCACACAATAACTCCAGGAAATTATACTGGTTTGAGGAAAGCACAATGAGTTCACCAACACTGAGCACTGAAACACCCCCAAACCATAAGCGAGTCTGGGTGTTTGGTGGTCCCACACGTGTAGCGTGGGTCTAGCGGGTCACTACCTCTGGGCTGGTATGTCCCCCACGGTTACAGGTGACAGTGGAGGTTGCTTCATCACTCCAAAGTGCTTCAGACCACAGTTGAGGATTCCAATGAAGATATTTCTTTGCATAATCCAGCCTACATTTCTTCTGTGGCTTGGAGAGGATCGGTTTCTTAACCTGGCAGTGACTACTGCAGCCCAGTTCTGACACATGTCTTGTAACAGTTCTTACAGACACCTCTGAGAGAAGATGTGGGTTCTTTTCATTCAATTCTCTAGCAGTTACCTTAGGGGTACTCTAACTGTTTCAACACAGTTAAGGTACGAACAGGTCTTCTTCGAGGGGCCAGGCCGAGGTTTGGCAGAGAGTAACTTGACACCACCACCAGCCTTGAAACACTGCACCCAGTTCCTCGCTGAACGCTCACACACACCAACATTCTCCACTATTTATTTCTTTTGTCTGGTGCCCAGCTTTGTGAAGCCCTATGATTTGAGCTATAGTTTCAGGTGTTAAAGACTTCCTTTTACCCATAATCAAACATGTATAGCCCCAAAACCAAAGGGAACACCAGACAAACGATGGAGCAGAGACAAAAGGGCAACACTTCCTCTTACCACGGCAGCCACATGAGCACTGAGGAGTCACTTTGGAGTGTGGTGGCAGGCCCTGACGTCATGTTAACAGCTGCTACCCGGCATAATGCACTGACGAAAAAAGATCCCCCCGTATGGTAGAGCTTTGATTTTTGTTATGGCACTAAGCCAGGGCGCTCACCTGGTATAATGCCATGACTAGCACTGTAACGTGTGATTGAGCAGCACACTTCTTAAAACACAACTGAAATTTTGCCACCCATTTTTGTGCAGTATGGGATGACGACCATATAGAATGCCCTAAATTTAGGAGAAAATATGTCACATTGTAGAATCTCTCCCTCTGCCAGGTAGTTAACCTATGGGCATGGCCTTTGTTTTTATGGAAGAGGCCTAGTCTCGTGTAAATAACGCCCAATGCTGCCAATTCACCATGTGTATATGGCTCCTATTTTAGTCATATTATGAAATCGATTTACATATTTTCACCAGCCCATTTTGTCTCTGGATATTAACATGGAACTCAAGGGAAATATTAGTGATGATGGAGATGCCTAGCAGAAGAATAAGTGTGAAAATCTGGGTGTTTAGAAAAAATTGTGATTTTTTTATTAATTTAAAAGTGGTGCAAGTGTGATGGAGATTGCAAGAGCCTTTAACTCATGTCAATAGATGACACTGCATTCACTGGAGTGCCAGAGTTCTGGCATAAATTTAACATTTGCAGATACAATATCCAATGTAAAAATTTCATGAAATGAAGTGGCCTAATGAACAATAAATGCAGGCTGGAGAAAATTATGGCCTACTGTGGTGAATAATTTTGCGGGTTTTTCATCAACAGAGTCAGGTCCAGGAAATTGTGGATCTGGCAAAGTGTGCCAGGTGAGGACATGAAGATATACAAGCTGAACACATAAATGAACTTTTAGAAGATTATGAACTGTTGAATTTCCAGACAGAAAGGAAGCAGACAATAGAATAGAATGAAGAAAAACAACATGGAGATAAGTGGTTAACATTGCAACAATTGCACGAGAAGTTAAATGTTTCTGATAAAATTGCAGATTTTTTCAAGAAAGACGATCCTGACACATTTAGAAGCATTGCTTTAAAGTGAGCCTTGGAGAAGACAATTATGCTTTAGCCTCACCTGTATAAAGTTCTGCAGGGTAAAACAAACCAGAGATGCTTAACAGAATACGTGAGCATCTCAATACAACCATCTACTGACAACTTTGCAGCAAAATTAGCCCAAGAACCACAGCCATTTATCTCTGCCCAGTAGTGCCACACCATCCCTCTCCATGTCTTTCAAGGTAATCAATATGTACCAACAACCAGAATTTAAGGTAAGAAAAATAGTTTTACATAACCTTTTTAGCTACATGCACTGTATTATAATTACATACATTTCACTATATTATAGGTAGTAGGTTGGTAGACAGCAACCGCCCAGGGAGGTACTACCGTCCTGCCAAGTGAGTGTAAAACGAAAGCCTGTAATTGTTTTACATGATGGTAGGATTGCTGGTGTCCTTTTTTCTGTCTCATGAACATGCAAGATTTCAGGTATGTCTTGCTACTTCTACTTACACTTAGGTCACACTACACATACATGTACAAGCACATATATACACACCCCTCTGGGTTTTCTTCTATTTTCTTTCTAGTTCTTATTCTTGTTTATTTCCTCTTATCTCCATGGGGAAGTGGAACAGAATTCTTCCTCCGTAAGCCATGCGTGTTGTAAGAGGCAACTAAAATGCCGGGAGCAAGGGGCTAGTAACCTCTTCTCCTGTATATATTACTAAATGTAAAAGGAGAAACTTTCGTTTTTCCTTTTGGGCCACCCCGCCTCGGTGGGATACGGCCGGTGTGTTGAAAGAAAGAAAGATTTCACTATATCCAAGTACAATTACATTATTTTTTAGAATTACGAGATCTAACATAAAATTTTGGTACTTCTCAAGGTGTTGGAAACATAACCCTATTTTCCCATATGTTTTACAGTTCACTTAACACGATTTCACTTAATGCCACTTTTCAGGAACATAAAGCACATGTTATTCCAGTCTTTACTGTACCATGAAAAAGTGTAGTGAACTATATCCCAAACATAAGCAAATCATTAAAAGCTAACAAAAATACAGTACCTTAAGTGTTTGTGTAAAAAAAAAAAAATAAAAAAGGATTAGTAAAAATAACATAAATTTTCACAAACCTTTAGTTCCTGGTGTTGGCCTGCTCTTGTGAACTAGGAAAGTTGATGGTATGGCCTCCTCGTTTTTTTTTTCCTTGTAGGTGGTGTAATCTGGAGACAAAAAATGCTAAACCCATATGGGGATAAACTCACGAGGATTATTCAGCACTGCACAAAAGAATACATAAGGAAAACAACAAGTGTAGGTCACAAAAGCAAGGGGAGGGAAAAAGGTGAAACAGGACGACAGTGTAATAAAGGCAATATATGAAATGTACTAGGATAAAAACTGCATAGAGCCTCTGGGTTCAAGTTCACACTTGGAGAGAGATGAAGACAGAGTAAGCAGTGAAAAGATGAAAGGTTAATAAAAAAAAATAATTTATCAAATGTTAGAACTTTCTTCTTTCTTTCAACACACCGGCCGCATCCCACCGAGGCGGGGTGGCCCAAAAGGAAAAACGAAAGTTTCTCCTTTTACATTTAGTAATATATACAGGAGAAGAGGTTACTAGCCCCCTGCTCCCGGCATTTTAGTTGCCTCTTACAACACGCATGGCTTACGGAGGAAGAATTCTGTTCCACTTCCCCATGGAGATAAGAGGAAATAAACAAGAATAAGAACTAGAAAGAAAATAGAAGAAAACCCAGAGGGGTGTGTATATATGTGCTTGTACATGTATGTGTAGTGTGACCTAAGTGTAAGTAGAAGTAGCAAGACGTACCTGAAATCTTGCATGTTCATGAGACAGAAAAAAGGACACCAGCAATCCTACCATCATGTAAAACAATTACAGGCTCTCGTTTTACACTCACTTGGCAGGACGGTAGTACCTCCCTGGGCGGTTGCTGTCTACCAACCTACTACCTATAATGTTAGAACTATACTTGGTAAACCATGCAGTGAAGCATGAAGCCCAGCCACAATTATTATTATTATTATAATCAAAAAGAAGCACTAAGCCACAAGGACTATACAGACCAACCACAAGATGATCATAGGTGAGTGATATATCCAATGTGCAATTATGATAGAGCAGTCTCCCACAAGCACCCCAATCTTGTCACAGGTGAAAGCTGTGAACAGGTTGAACGTGGGTTAAGCAGTTAGGATAGATGAGATAAAGATACAGTTTCTCTCACTTTATGCAGCCTCAATTTATGCAAATTTTATATATGCTAACCATATTTTTACCAGTAATTCACAATATGAGATATAAATTTACTCCTATGTGATTGCCCATCCCCACTTGTTTTCCTAAGTATCTCATTAATAGCACTTTAAAGTGGTTTATATTTACATTAGAAAGAATTGCAATAAACCTAATTGAACTTGCTAGTCAGATCCAACTCTTCCTAACCATTCCCATTCATATAAATCTCTATTGCCAAATCATTGTTTTCTTACACAAGAACAAAGCACTACATCAGACATACTGGCTAATACTAGGCAAGTCCTACTCTCACCCAACCATTCTGACTCATCTCTCTCTCTTGCCAAACCAGTGCTTTGTCAATACACTACTTCTACTACTACTAACAGTAACATTCAACTGATAATTCCTATAGATTCACTCATTTATGGCAAGTCAGGAGGCTAGTAGACAGCAGTCACCCATAAAAGGAGCTTCCATGGCTTCATACAATTGTGAAACAGAAGCCTGTTCAGTGTTTGGACTCTGGCAGAATTGTTGATCTTTTCCACCTCATGGACAGGTAAATCTTAAAAATTTATACAGTACTTACATTTAGTACATACTTTCTTGCATTCCTTAATATTTGCTTTGTAATGCTGTAATTCCTTTACCAAGATTAAGCTGCTAATCTCTGGAACCATTAGAAGATAATAAGGCTTGTTGGCTTGAGTATAGTATATACACCATTCACAAAATCAGAGAGAGCATGCAATCTTAGCTTCATGCTGTTTCTCACACTTTGATAAGAAATCTCAACTGGGTTAACAGTCATGCTTGGCTCAGTGGCCAGATCATAGATCAAACCTTGATAATAAATGTCAATAAGTCAATGTGTATCAACTTTGAAATAAACCATAATTAACTGAGTAAAGTTTAGTAAAACCAACTATTTAAAGAGAGCATTACCAATCCTCATATTTCAGTTAATTAAGGGCATTCTCATACTGGAAAATAATGCTGAAAGCATGTTTATCCCTAAAAGGATCTCCAGGGAATAATTTTCATTTGTGGCACCCAATTCGTTTTCGCTTGACGCACATTTCTTAAATTTAAAACCAATCATAGGATTTTGCTCAAAATGTATTTAACTGAATTCCCAGGCCCAAATACAGTGGTCCCCCTGTACCCTCAGGGGTACGTCCCAAGACCTACCATGGATACCCAAAACCGTGGATAGTTGTGAACTCTGAGTCGTTTTTCATTTACATACATACCTATGATAAAGTTTAATTGATAAATTATGCCCAGTAAGTTGAGAATTAACATTTTTTTCACTGATGGGAAGCACAAGCACTTCACAGAACTGCCATCATCACTACTTCTGTGCTTTGTGATCATTAAGCAAAATTAAGGTGTACTTTTTTGGGTCATGGTAAACAGCAGATAACTGAAACCGTGGAAACCAAACCTGCAGACATCCGAGTTCTACTGTACCTGTTATTTCTAGATACTATTTTTGTGAATGTCAGTATTAATGTGGTTAAAGTACTATTTAATAAGATGACATATGAAACAAAATGAGACAAAATTTATGATATGGACAGAATTTTGTGTAACAGTATTTTCAGATTTGGGGGGTTTCCACCAGGTTTCACCACAGTACACTATTTCATGCCAATTGTTGCTCCACAGGCAGCCTACAGTAACACTTCATTCAGGGGTGTTAATGTTGCAGTTTAAAAACTGTAGTGTAAAGCACCCTTCTGGCAAGACAGTGATGGAGTGAATGATGGTGAAAGTTTTTCTTTTTCGGGCCACCCTGCCTTGGTGGGAATCGGCCAGTGTGATAATAAAAAAAAAATATTTCATTCTCCAAGGGTGGTGCAGCACCCATCACAGCACTGTTGTTGGCTTCAAATAATAAGGAAGACTCAGATAAATAATTATTTTCCTATTTCTCTAGAATAAAGTTTTTCTTCTTCTCTTTTTTAGTAAATGTCTACAGGAGAAGGGGTTACTAGCCCATTGCTCCCGGCATTTTAGTCGCCTCATACGACACGCATGGCTTACGGAGGAAAGATTCTTTTCCACTTCCCCATGGACAATAGTAGAAATAAAGAAGAACAAGAGCTATTTAGAAAAAGGAGAAAAAACCTAGATGTATGTATATATATATGCATGTGCGTGTCTGTGAAGTGTGACCAAAGTGTAAGTAGGAGTAGCAAGATATCCCTGTTATCTAGCGTGTTTATGAGACAGAAAAAGAAACCAGCAATCCTACCATCATGCGAAACAGTTACAGGTTTCTGTTTCACAGTCATCTGGCAGGACGGTAGTACTTCCCTGGGTGGTTGTTGTCTACCAACCTGCTACCTAGTGAATGGAGACAAATGGTTTTTAATACTTGACGTGCTGTTGGAGTGTGAGCAAAGTAACATTTATGAAGGGGTTCAGGGAAACCGGCAGGCCAGACTTGAGTCCTGGAGATGGGAAGTACAGTGCCTGCACTCTGAAGGAGGGGTGTTAATGTTACAGTTTAAAAACTGTAGTGTAAAGCACCCTTCTGGCAAGACAGTGATGGAGTGAATGATGGTGAAAGTTTTTCTTTTTCAGGCCACCCTGCCTTGGTGGGAATCGGCCAGTGTGATAATAAAACAAAATATTCTCTAGAATCAAATGTTGATGAACAAGAAAACATCCTCACCATTCAGAGCAGAGAAAGTGCTGGGCTCTTCATCCATGATAGCCTATCACCAGGACAATGGGGAAATGGAGGGTGAACAACTCTGCTGGGGCATAACACATTTTTTAACTAGAAACAAATTTGTTGCACAAGACCCAAGTTGCTTGTTAAATATATGTTGTCATGCCTCTTAAATTAATCCAACTATAACAATGGTTGCATAGATAACATCTCTTAAATTAGTCTCAGTAGTATTTACTTCCCTTTTTGACATGGAAATTTTACAAGCACTTTTTGTATTTGTTTTACTCTTAAATTTATCATTATCTAGACTTTTTTCTTTACCCCTCATTACCTTGGTCTTTTCTATGTTGTACTTTTAATTTCCTCTTTTGATATATGCTCCCTAATTCATCCACCAACCTTTGTAATCTGTCTTCAGAATCTCCCACTATTACTAGAAAATGTTTATTACAATTACTCTGATGGTAAAATTTTTATCACTGAAATGACAAATATTGCTGAGTGAGGTCTTTTCTGTACCATTGCCTGTACCGGTTAGTGCAGAAAACATGCACATGGCATACAAATTAGGATAAAAAAATCTTTTCACTATCTCATTTTATTTCTCCTTAAAAAAAAATCTGCACACCTATTCAAAATATATATTACAGTCACATAATAAAATTGACTGAATTAATTAAATTTAGCCAAATGATTATGAAAATGTCAAAATATCGAACTGACACAAAGTACAAATATATTGTTGCTTCAAACTAATCCAACCAATTAATGAAGGTGCAAAGACTAATATGGCCACAACATATCAAAATAATATTTCGTGCTGAATTGATAGTCAAAACTCATCGGTGATGACAACTTTTTGCATCATAAAATTATGTTGGAAATATTAATGCCAGAACACATACAAAACCTGCATACACATTCAAGTATTTAGCAAAAGACAAACAACAGAAGTCATACTTCCATTTAAACCTTGAGAATGTTATCACAAGATTCTCAAACTTACAACAGGTTTATTCATCAATGGTAAACATGTCTAATTGAAATAATTTTGTCTATTAATAAATTTAAGAGACTTACACATAAGAGGAAGAACAATATGTTCACTTTGGTTCCTCGATCTGTCCTTTAATAAGATCTGTCATGACTGGGTATTGGACCTTCTTCTTATTGAGCTCATCCTGGGCCCACAGCAGCAGCTTCAATAACTCGGCCAAGAGCGGAGTCGTCTCTTCCTGGTTCTGCGCCCGGAGTATGGCAGCATTTAATTCACTTGCAACCTGCATAATAAGGAACAGAGGAAATTATTTTAGGCAAGAGCCATATCTAATTGCTTTTATTCCTGGAAAGTATGCAATTATATTTTATTTAATTTGTAATGTTTTCTTTAATCAGAAAATGGTTTGATCAAAAAGGTCAATAATATTTTCTTTAAAATGGCATGATATAGGAAGTAAGCCAGCACATAGTAAATAAAAATAAACATTATTATTACATTTAAAGGGGAGCACAAAACCTGTAGGGGTCATAGCCTAGGGGAATGGAAGACATTTGAACTCGATTCAAGGAACTGGAACACAGGTCCAATTTCTTAGATCAAGAGACCATCACCAGCACCATGGAACCTCCTTTGAGGGGTCAAAAGTACACAGAGTAATGTTTCACTCAGTGTGAACTTACGGAACAAAGCTCACACTGAGCAAAATGTCATTTTAATGAAGGCTTACTCTGGGTGTCTTTGATTTACTTCTCTACAACTGCTATATGACCCTTGTGGGTTTAGCACTTAGTTATAACTGTAATAACAATAATAATAATTGTCCTACTGAATCTTGATTTTGGAAGATGGAAATGTTTGTTCCCAATTACCAACATAAAGCTATTCTCCCCAGCATCAAAAAAACAAAATATTTACAATTTTTTTTAACACACTGGCTGTCTCCCACTGAGGGAGGGTGACCCAAAAAAATAAACACTTTCACCATCATTCACACTATCACTGTCTTGCCAGAGGTGCATCTTCGTATTTTTCTGTGACAAGTGACAAAAGTTTATGATTATTAATATATACATGTGGAAGAGCTGTATATTTTATGAGTCATACGAATCAAAGGAATGGGAGTAATTAAAAACAAAACAAATATTTTCAAAATGTACATCATTGTTACAAAACTGACATATTTTATACAGTTTTAGAAGCCCATGGTTTTGTAGAGTATTTTGGGTAGGCTAAAACTGGAGCTTAAAACTACTTGACATCATATAGTTGAAGTTAGATTATCTCAATGCTAAGTTAAACATAATTAAAGTGTCTGAAGATTAGACTGTTAATGTTTTTTTTTAACATGTCGGCCATTTTCCAGAGGTAGGGCGACCCAAAAAGAAAGAAAAATCCCAAAACAAAGAAAAAACTTTCACCATCACTCATACTTAATTACTGTCTTTGCAGAGATGCTTAGATACTACAGTTTAGATGTCCCTCCAAACTGCCAATATCCCAAACCCCCATTTTCAGGACTCAGTCCCTGAATCCCTTCACAAAATATTACCCTGCTCACACTCCAACAGCTCATCAGGTCCCAAAAACCATTCGTCTCCATTCACTCCTATCTAACATGCTCATGCACATTTGTTGGGAGTGAAAATATATATGCAGCATTAAACAATCTGTCTTTAAACAAGATGATTAAATATAGTATATTTTATTCTACTGACCTTTTGTCTGTGAGAAGGGTGTAATAGATCACCAAAAGGAGAGGTGTCTGGTTGATCGAAAGCTAAGAGTGCTAAAGTGCGTTCTAATTCATTCAGGATTGACGGGTCTCGCTGGCCCCTCTCTGCCAGATGATCCTGAGCATATACAACAGCCTCCTCAACACGACCCTCCCGGATCAGTTCAATTAATACTTGTTGCTGTAAGAAAATGCTGCTATTATTATTTGGCATGTTGCATGTTAACACTAGCTAAAACAGACCTCATTGTGTACAATAAATTGTACCTGATGTTATTTTTTTAATACTGACCATCAGGCATTTTTCTATCAAAGTAAGGTGACCCAAAGGTGGAAACAGTATTTTCACTTATTCCCTTGTTATCTTTACAGAAGAGCAGACATCATAATTCCAATGTGAAATTTAATATTTCCACCCAACTTTGAGATTGCAGGCATTGTACTTCTTACCCCTGGAATTCTAGTCCAGCTAACCAGTTTCTTACGTCCATCCATAGATGTTACCTTGCTCCCACTTAGACATACAGAAATCTAAATGCATACAAAAACACAAAACACATGAGCACAACCCATCCACCTCAGCCCAACAAGCACAACCCATCAACCTCAGCCCAACAAGCAAAACCATCCACCTCAGTCCAACAAGCACAACCCATCAACTTCAGCTCAACAGGCAAAAACATCCACCTTAGCCCAACAAGCACAACCCTCCCCCTTATCCTAACAAACACAACCATCCATCTCAGCCCAACACCCACAGCTATCCACCTCAGCCATCCACCTCACCCCAAAAACCATTCACCTTAGCCCAGCAGGGCCATGCCAACCCTCTTCACACATGTTGAAACATAGTAGCACCACCACCAAGGAGAATTTAAAGCAAGAAAAAATTGTTTTATGCACTCATTTATCACTTTCTTAGAGACCTCAGGAATCTAGCCCTATTTTTTTCCCACAAATTCTTCATGTAACATGTATTTCACATAAAACATTGTTTTCAGAAACATAATTGCAGTGTTATGTGGGGAAATGTACTGTATACCAAAATGGAGGAACTTTAGAAAATTCTCAGCCAACAGCAGAGTTTGTATTTGTTTACTCCTCAGTATAAAACTACATATTACAACTGTTTTTGCACTAATTCTGGATTATTTACCCTTCATAACTGCACTTGTTATAATTACACTATCTTTTGCATTAACAAGTTGTGGCATGCAAAGAGTACGTAACCTTTATTTGGCACATGTACACACCTTCATTTACAGGCTATCTCCCCCAACCAGCGAACCAGGTGACTGAGGGTTGACGATGGGACCCCATCGTTCAACCAGTACCCAGGTTCCAGCCAATGAGAAGATGGTTTTGGCAATCGCAGAGGTTATGTGGGTACCACTCTCCTGTCTGCCCTTGTCATTCCCATTCTAGAGCTGGTTGAAGCACGGTTTGCTCTCTAGTGGCTTCTATTCTGCCTTGCTTACCGTGGAGTGCACTAATACCTATCACTGTACATAGTGTACATACTTCTGTTCTAAATTGGTGAAGGGTAATATAAGTCAAAACTTTTCTGCTGTGTTTATTTTGCTCCCTTTACACCCAGGATAACAGGCCATTTGGACTCCTGGGTTGTAATACAAGTTATTATGGCCCCTAAAGAATGCAGTAAACAGGCCATTTCGCAGAAGGTCAAGCAAGAAATTAGTGCAATTGTGTGAGAGTATGGTTTTCCATGAACAACCATCTTTATTTTTTTTTTCAACAAACCAGCTGCATCCCACCAAGGCAGGGTGGCCCAAAAAGAAAAACAAAAATTTCTTTTTAAATTTAGTAATCTATACAGGAGAAGGGGTTACTAGCCCCTTGCTCCCAGCAGTTTAGTCGCCTCTTACAACACGCATGGCTTACGGAGGAAGAATTCTGTTCCACTTCCCCATGGAGATAAGAGGAAATAAACAAGAATAAGAACTAGATAGAAAATGGAAGAAAACCCAGAGGGGTGTGTATATATATGCTTGTACATGTATGTGTAGTGTGACCTAAGTGTAAGTAGAAGTAGCAAGACGTACCTGAAATCTTGCATGTTCATGAGACAGAAAAAAGGACACCAGCAATCCTACCATCATGTAAAACAATTACAGGCTTTCGTTTTACACTCACTTGGCAGGACGGTAGTACCTCCCTGGGCGGTTGCTGTCTACCAACCTACTACCTAGGATCTCTATTATTATCAAGCAAAAAAGAAATAAAGAATATTTAAGTGGCTTATGAATCTAAGCTAGTGAAAAAATGTAAAGAAATTATTATAAATGAAAAGACTATTGTAATTGTGGATAAGAGAGAAGCATATGAAGAGAGAGTGTGCCATCAAGTTATATTTGACAGAGTGTAAGGTACAGTAAAAGTTGCACTTCTGGAGTCTTGGAACGAATTACCATAAAACCGTGAATTTTGGGGTTGAAGTTACAATAGTTTGGAGATACAATATGTCTTCTGGAACAAATTAATATTATAACTCAAGGGGACACTGTATTAGTGATACATACCACCTAGGCCTAGTGGCAACAATGATTCTGCAACAGCAGCAACAATAATAATAATGAACATTCGGAATAGATTTTGAAAAAAATATATGGAATAAAGTATTTCTACAAAATCTATACAAAGAATACCATCATCAAAACTAGAAGACTCAGTAGTTTACCTGGAGGTGGAAATAAAGCTGAGAATTATCATCAAGGATCTCTGGATGAAGTGCTGTCACCATTCTCATAGCATCTTGGAAGTGGCCAGTTTGTATGGCAGATCTAATGCGAATCCGATCATCCAACTGATCTAGATCCATTGGTACCTTTATGTTGGCCTCAACTGAAAATTTTTCAGCAGCCTCCTTGAATCCTTCTGTAATAATAATTAGGAATGTCATAAAAATGAAAACTTTTTTAACTAAAACTAAGATACAACATTCATGCAGTACTAAATATGAGCACAGAGATTAATGCTACATTCATGGTGCATTAAATATTTATGCTATACAGGTAAATGGATATGCAGTGTTCTGCAAAGACTGTGCATGTGTATTTGAATATCAAAATGTGAAATCTCATTTATGAAAATGGTAACAGATCTTAGTGCTGACAGCCATTCTGCTTTGATTTGATCTTTGATCTTGAAATCTTTGCCATTGTCTATTATTTTCTATTTTTTTTGTGTGTGCCCAAGTGCAAAACTGACTAAATTAGATTTATCAACACTTTATTGCAATAAGAATTTATGACTGTAATACTGAACTTCAAATATTAATAAAATTTTTTAGTGCAAGCAAAATACGTATAGGCTAGAAATATATTTTGTAGTAGAAAACAAGAGAGGAGTGAGCAATCATGCAACCTTTTCTCTCTCTCTCAGCACTGTGTGTACCTCAATACACAAAGCTTAATTTTTGAAAATTAATATGCTGAGTGTATCAGTACCATATGAGACGCTGGAAAGAAAACAAACTCGCTATATGTCACTCAAGAGTGCAACGGACAAGTGTAGTAGTAGCAGCAGCAACACACACACAGCAAGAGGCATTCTTGAGCTTCCCCAGCATTCAGGCTTAATGCCCAAAGCTGGGATGTGACTCCAAAAGGATCCTGTAGTGCTTGCTGCCTTTGCACCTCTTGACATCGTCTGCTGCTATGCAGCGGCCACACCCTTCGAGCCCAGTGTGGGCAGGGTTTGTGGCAGCCCAGGGTGCCTAGCTTCTCCCTCCAAGCTCCGTGGGGGCAGGGAATGGGGCTAGGCCTGGGGACAGCTAGTCCCAGAGTACCAATTACAGTTATTCAGGCTAAAACGTTGTGTAGTTTTAAAAATAGGTTAGATAAATACATGAGTGGGTGTGGATGGGTGTGAGTTGGACCTGACTTGCTTGTGCTGCTGGGTCTGGTGCAGTGCTCCATCCTTGAGTGGAGATGACCAGTCTGGGTGGGTCATTGGGCTAATCCAGGGAGAGGGGGGATCATTAGTCTAATATGGGGGGGGATATGGACCTGCTCTACATGGGTCAGTAGGCCTGTTACAGTATTCCTTCTTTCTTATGTTCTTAAGAAATTGTGCAATACAGAGACAGATGGTAAATGCTGCTGAAGGAATTTTTTAACAAACTTAAAATGGAACATTTACATTAACAATTACATGTATGCTGAAAGTTTTCTTACGTCTTGGGAATAACTTATCCTTCATGCTATCTTTCCAAAACTTCTGACAGGAATAATAATGTACCTATATATACATCAAGGCCTTATGTAGTTCTCTTTCTCTATCAAAAGAATCTTTTCCTTTTTTTTACTGGATCTAGTCCACAAGCCAATAATTGTCATAAACTGCAGCTTAAAACTCCAGCACTCTGCTCCAAACTCAAAAGTTAAAACAAACTTCTTCTACAGTAAGAGAGTATCAAAAATTCTTAACAATAAATTAGCTAGGTGGTGTTTAATGAAAAAAAAAAGCCTTTCAATGAAATCTTCTAGTAGCATCATATAATATTGGCAATTTAAAAACCGCTTTTTATATAAATCTTCAATAGCAAAAAATTTCAAGTACAAAATAAGCCTACCCATGACGAGGTAGTTCATAATCAGCTTGTTCATGTCTGCACGGTGTATGTGCATCTTGCCAGTTTCTTCTACCCATTGTGTTGTGTCCATGGCTTTTACACCCTCGTTGGAGCCACCTTGGTCAGTATCGCTATCTACGTTTGTTCTCATAAACACTTGAGCCTGCAAAAAATATTTATTAAAGATTACTATACTTATAGTTACTGTAATATCTAATAGTGATTACAACAAAATAATATTTTAGGGAGTAAGTAATTAAGTTTATTTAGGCACAGGTGCACCTAAGTACAATTATATTATCATACATAGTGTAGATTACCTAGGATAACAAAAAAGTCAGACAGTGACATATTTCCATTGGGGTCCTTGCTTAGGAAAGTTTTTCATAAATTTGTGGGAAGTTTGGAAAGTTTTGCAAATTTGAAGTCTTATTCTGCCACTTCCCAGCATTGCCATACATCTACCTTTTATATCACAGTTACTTTAACACCTCATTCAAGTATCACTTATTTTAGTACCAGTCACAGACTGGGAAGCTCTTCAATCTAAAAACCTCAACTGTCTTAGTATTATCTACTACATTTAGTCAAAAACAAAGACAAAGACAAAATTTATTTCTCTGCAAAGGTTACAATATGTGATTACATTTTGTAATTTGTTAAGTACAAAGAAAGCCACTAGTATCATGCCGGGGCATTTCGGGCAGTCCTGAAACTTTCAGGTAAAAATTCACTTCTTAGTTGTACACAGTACTAATGTATCTATCACAGTCTTATATGCAGTACTGTAAATATAAAATAATAATTTCAGGAACAAATGAGTTGAACAAGACATTTATAGTATATGTTGATAGAGCAATAAATCCAGGGTGACAATTTCCTTAAAATAACTTTATTTATATAGTAATGAAGGGTACTAACAAAAAAACATTGCTTAACAACAATCCACACCTCAGTTAACATGATATAGGAGTTTCTCAGTAACACCATTAATTAATTCAAAATCAAATCTACACAGTAGCATAATTAAATAACTAAGGTGAAGACAGGGAAAAAATGAATCATAAACATTATGCCTTGTAATTTAGGGCATCATATAATATCACCTTTATATAGTATCTATAATTAGTGAATACAGTATCATGTTTGTGTATTTATAATTAGAAAATAATTCAAATTTTAAGTTTTAACTAAAATTTACTTGAACGGATTAGTAATCAAAGAAAATGTTGACCTCAAAATGTGTCTGTTGTGAGGGTGTTGTCTTTTGGTTATTGTTAGCTAAATCACATCATCACTATATACCTATAGGTTTAAATGGCCCCCTGGCCTGGTAGCAAAAGCTCTCGCTTCACACAGTGGGGGTCTGGGTTCGATTCTCGGCAAGGTTTTAAACACTGGGCGTGTTTCCTTACGTCGGCTGTCTATGTTCACCATCAGCAAAAAAATGGGTACCTGGGTGTTAATCGACTGGTGTGGGACACATCCCTGGACAAAACCAACTTAATTTGCCCAAAATGCTTTGCATAACAAGTGGCTTTCTATATAGTAGTACGTCACTGATGTCAGCTAGGCCTGTATACCTTGTACATGTACTTGTAGAAATAAAGATATATTATTATTATTATTATTATTATTATACTGAAAGATGGAAGTAACTCACTTTGTCTGACTTTTTTTTTTTTTTGGGGGGGGGGTTATCCTAGGTAATGTGCACAAGTTACTATGTATGCTGAAATCTTCATGCATGCTAGTGGCTTTCTTTATGTTTAACAATATTTTATAACATGTGAACTACGCATTGTGTACTATGCAAAGAAATAAAAATTTTGATTTTGATAATTGTACATATGTGTACCCGTACCTAAATAAACTTACTAACACTGTAAATTCTCTGTATAAAAATATAAAGTACAGTACTGTGTGGTGGAGCGTCTGACGTGCACCTGAACGTACTTAACGTGAAGCCGTGGGATAAATAGAAATAATATAATAACAATAATAATATCTATTTCTACAAGTACATGTACAAGGTATACAGGCCTAGCTGACTCCTAACAACTGCTACTGATAACCTAGAAGGAAGTAGGTACCTGGGAGATATTTCACTGTTGTGAGTTGCACCTAGAGAAGGTCCCCCTAGGGAAGGGGGTCCCATTGCCTTGTAGGCAAAGCTCTTGCTTCACACACACTGTCTGTGGTTCGATCTCCAGCAAGGGCAGAAACACTGGGCATGTTTCTTTACACCTGTTGTCCTGTCTGCCTAGCAAGCAAGTAGGTACCTAGGTGTTAGTCAACTGGTGTGGGTTGCATCCTGGGGGACAAGAATGAGGACCCAAAATGAAAATAAGACACAGTCCCTTGATGATGCACCGCCTTTCTTGGGTTATCCTGGGTTGATAACTCTCCGGGGATATAATGCTAAGGTTAGGTTAAGTAAGATTCGTCAGGAAACAGGACAAGTGTTTCCTGACGCAAGTCAGTAAGTAAGTAAGGTTATTTAGGCACAGGTACACATAAGTACAATTATCATACATATCGTAAATTACTTAGAATAATCCAACAAAATGTCAAGGACCCTAATGGAAATAAGTCACTTTGTCTGACATTTTTGGGTTATTCTAGATAATTTACACACACGTTAATATATATGATAATTTGTGCAAGTGTATTTATGTGTAGCTGTACCTAAATCAACTTACTTATTTTCACTGGGGTCCTACAATGACCCGCTACTGGAGCTTTTGGTCATCTGCCCGAGGACTTCCGCTGGCTTACACCTCCACCCCTTTAAAAATTAATATTTATAATGTTTTTCTCATACATGATTTAAAGCAAATAATCAATTACGGAACATAACTCTGAGTGGAAGAACAAGAGAAGAATTATATTTAAAACTATGCATGCCTAAACAATCCATACCTTGAAAGGCATTAGGACAAATATTAATGACAGTAAACGATGCAACAGAGAACAAAATTCTTAAATAAATGAGTTAACAAATACGATAAAAAGTTTCTTTACAAAATTCCCTCATAATAAATATACAAGTAACAATATTAACACGGTCAACCACTCTTAACAAACCCGTCAAGTTAAAAAAAAAAAAAGGAACATATCAGTAGAAATATGCCAGTGGTGGGTTACCTTAGGCGATAATTTACACAAAATAATAAGTGAGGAAGTTGTTCCTCAGAGCAGCTGGTGTATCAACATGAGAGACCACCGGCTCATCATCTTTATCTTCCAAACTGAAAATACAAATAATATTTTTAAAAACTTAATAACCACGTTTATATAGTCACAGGTACACATAGGTACAATTATCATATATAGTGTATATTACATAGGATAACCCAAAAAAGTCAAAGTGACTTATTTCCATCGGGGTCATTGTGTTTTATTGCTTTATGTTCTACAAAATAATGTAGTTTATGTGTAATGGAACATTGGTAGGCACAAAAGAAAGCCATCAGTATGCAATGCACTTCAAGCAACATATCTTACTTTAGTCTCCCTATGAAAATATAAAAAAAAATATTTAGACCTCATACATAAGTTTAAAGCTTTTTCAATACAAATACAAATATTTATTTCCTTGTAATGCTTACAATGTATGGTTTACATGTTATAAGATTTAAATTACAGTATTATTAGTATAATCATGGTGGAGCGCTAAACCTGTAGGATTATACAGTGCATATGGGGGGATGGAAGGTATTCAGGCTCAATTCAGGGAACTGGAACACAGATCCAATTCCCTAGATCAAGAGCTCCTCACCAGCGTCAAGGAACCTCCCTTGAGGGGGATTTAAATTACAAAGATGGCCACTATCCTGCCTAGGCAGGATAGTGGCCATCTATTTTGATATAGGTCATATTTGAGCAGTACATTTGAACATATTATTAGGTAATTATTATTATTATTATTATTAAAGATTAGAGGGTATTCTCCCGGCCCGGGCCTTTTCCAAGTGGTGGCCCGGCCTTGGCTCCCTCTTTAGTGAGTGTCTGAGACCTAAGTCTCCCATGGGAGGAGGCACAAGTACCTCCTCATCTTTGGGACTAACTGTCCCCAAGCCTAGACACAAGCTAGGCCTCTCTGATCTGCCATCCCCGCCACAAGGGGGCAAATGGGAATGACAGTCTTATGAGCTAAAGGCTCGGGCTCAGGCACCTACCCTACCCTAGAAAGGCTGGGCATGGTGTCGATCATTTAGGTACTTAATTAGGAACATTCTCAGTTATAAGTATATTTTATGTAAAGTTAAGCTGGAATATTCCAATGAGGATAATATCTTATTTTCAACACACTGTTCAAGGGATTCAATATATTTGGAAATTCAATAAATACAGATTTTAATATTTATTGCAAATTAATGACTATCATTCTTTATTGGCCTTATTTCCTTCTGTCAAATAAATACTACCAAAAATTCAATTGCACCTAATCCTCCGCTCTTCTATGCGAAGTTATAACATAATATATAATCTTTATTTCTACAAGTACATGTACTACAAGGTATACATACTGCTATATAGAAAGTCCCTTGTTATGCTGAGCATTTCGGGCAATTAGGTTAGTTTTGTCCCGGGATGCGACCCACACCAGTTGACTAACACCCAGGTATCCATTATACTGATGGGTGAACATAGACAACCGATGTAAAGAAAGACGCCCAATGTTTCTACCCTCGCTGGTAATCGAACCCAGACACTCACCCTGTGAAGAGAGAGCTTCAGCCACCAGGCCACGGTGCATCTTATGATATTACGTCTTTCTTACTCTCTTTGTCTCTTCCCTGTCCCCCTCTCCTAAATATGTATACTGGCGTCCTCACCTTCGTGTGTTAGTGTGACTAGTTGATGGTCCAAGTCGGACCGAAACGTCATCAGCTTCTCTCTCTCTTATGTGCAGATTATTTGTGTATTGTTCCAGTCACGGTATTGTGTCTTTTTGTTCGTTTATGTTCAATATTAAGTAGGTTATGAGGGTTTATTTTGTGTAAATGATAAACAACTTAACCTAACCCAAGGAAACCTAACCTAAAATAGCCTAATGTAAATTTATCTTACTCCAGCAAAGAACTTGCAGCTATTAGGTATTTTTATTTCGAAACGTTTCGCCTACACTCTAGGCTTCTTCAGTTTAATATAGAGGAAACAGAGGAAGTGGTGTCCTGTGGCTCAGTTGATAACGTAGTCAATAAGTACACAAAGTGTTAGTGGTTTGATCCTCGGCACGGGCAGAAACGTTGGGCATGTTTACTTATACAAACAAAGCAACCATTTTATATCCCTGTGCAGTATTAAAAATGCAGTTTGCATGTAATGGAATACTTTTAAGCACAAAAGAAAGCCACTAGGACTGTTCGTTTTCACCTAGCAGTAAATACTGCAGGTACCTTGGGTGTATGTCGACTGCTATGGGTCGCATCCTGGGGGACAAGATTAAAAAGGACCATAATGGAAATAACGGAGACAGTACCTGATGACGCACAGGCTTTATTGGGTTATCCTGGGCGGTAAACTTTCAGGGTTAAAAATCCTAACAAAATCTTCCTCGTGTTAAAGTAGTTTTGAGTTGGTCAGTCTCTCAGCCTGGAATAGAGTTCAGCTCCACAGTTTGGAACAATGTCACATTATTCCAGACTATGGAGCTGATCTCTTCTCCAGGCTGGGGGACAGACTACCCCAAAATTACTTTGTCGAAGATGATGGACTGATTCCATCCTCAATACACCTCCACTGCTCCTGCTGTCTCCTCTGTATTAGACTGAAGAAGTCTACTGTGTAGCCGAAACTTTCCGGAATAAAGATACCCAATTGTTACTCATGTGTCTTAACTACTTGTAGGTATTGTATGCCATTGTTATACTTAACTTACTACGCCAGCGTCAGGTGATTGTTTCCTGATAATAACAAGATTATTATAATCAAGGGGAAGCGCTAAACCCGTAGGATTATACAGCGTCTGTGGGGGGATGTGGAAGGTATTCAGGTTTAAGTCAGGGAACTTAAGCACAGATCCAATTCCCTAGATCAAAAGCCCCTCACCAGCATCAAATAACAACAAGAGAACAGCTATCAGATCTGTGTTGACACACGGCAGGATGTTATTCTCCCTGGTATCTTCACTTCCTCCTCTGCTTCGTTTTCTTGTCGTAGGAAACAGTAGTTAAGATGTTTAACATTTTCTCCAGTTGTGGCAAGAAGTTCTGTGGGAGGGTGCAGGGTGGGCTAGCTGCAATACCTACACTGCTACTAGACACTCCTAGCAGAACAAGCTGTTAGTTGTACGTTTCGCTCGCAGTGTTTTCACGTGTATTAATCCAAGTGTGTAACGCAATGTAAATGCGAGTTGTTCTAGTACAAGTGACCTTGTACTACCATACCTGTCGCTATCTGTTTTTGCCTTTTCAAACTCTCTCGTGAGCCTTCACAAGCACCTCGTGTAATATATATATATATATATATATATATATATATATATATATATATATATATATATATATATATATATATATATATATATATATATATATATATATATATATATATATATATGCAAGAATGGTATATAATACCGACAAGATGAAATTAAGACACATGTGCAACATCTGGGTATCTTTATTGTAGACGTTTCGCCATCCAGTGGCTTTATCAATACAAATTCTAGGACATAACTTGAAGATAGTAGGACTATATACAGAAGATGAGGTAATCAGTCCCTCAACCTAGGATTTGGTGCGAAGAGCACCGTAGTCGTGGAGATTCTGAAGCAGATACGATACGATACGATAGGACTCACAGGTAAGGACCCACGAGGGGCGAGGGGCAAGTGGGGACAGTGCGAAGAATAGACGGTGAGAGGAATGTCTTGAGTTGAAGAGAGAAGAGTCAGGACTAGACCCAACTGCTAAGCCTGGATAAACAATAACGAAGACGACATAAAAGACAACAGGGACTCTGCGGGTGCTGACTGCAACTGACTGGAAGCACTTCAACTTGCAAAGCAGAAGCAAGGAGCCTGGCGCTTATATAGTAACGTCAGGTGCTTCTTCTAAGCAGTACACCGCTTTTCCTACACACCAAGGACTGATGCAATATAGAACTATGCCCTTCGGTTTGGTAACTGCCTGTGCTACCTACGTGAGACTGATGAGAAAGGTCTTGGGTAATATGCCAAATGTTTCAGTTTATTTTGATAACATTTACGTAATGACATCCACGTGGGGCGAACATATCCAAACATTAACATCAGTTTTGCGTAGGTTACGCTCACATGGCCTCACTGCCAAGCCGAAGAAATGCTTCCTTGGGTATAACAAGATTAGATATCTTGGACTGATACTTTCTAATAACTCTCTGCAGCCTCTCCCCAGTAAGATAAAAGCTTTATTAGAATTTAAATTCCCCAAAACCAAGAAGCTCATGCGTAGCTTTCTTGGTTCTGTAAATTTTTATGCACGGTTTATCCCAAACCTTACTGATCTTACAGGCATCTTATCCGACTTCCTTAAAAAGTCTGTGAAGGAACCTCTTGAACTTTCCAACGTAGCTCGGGAAAAGTTTAATGAGATTAAAAGTACCTTTTCGAAAGACCCTGTACTTAAGATTCCAGATATTTTGTTTAAGAACTGATGCCTCCAATGCTGGCTTAGGTGCAGTGTTACTACAATACCATGATGGTACTCCCTTCCCTGTATGCTTCCTAAGCTGGAAACTCCTTCCTGCAGAAACGAGATACTCCACCATAGAAAAGGAATGTTTAGCCCTTGTGTGGGGTATCTCCAAACTTAAATTTTATTTGCTGGGAAAAGAATTCATTTTAGAAACGGACCACAAACCTTTGATATACCTAGAAACTTTTAAGGGAACCAACAGTCGCCTCTTGAGGTGGACATTGGCACTCCAGGCTTTTAAGTTCCATATTGTGTATATCAATGGTTCATCCAATTATTTATCTGACTGGTTAAGTCATGACAGTCAGTAGAAGATTTGTTGCCTTACGCAACTTCCACATGTTAGAACTTTTTCCTCGCCTATTCTTCTTATACTCCTTGACTATAAGTCTTGGTAAGGGGGAGTGTGAGGGAAAAGTTCAATAGATAGGAGTAGCGAGGGAGTATATAGTAACAATAGTTTCATTGTCGGCTACTTGTTAAGGTAGGGTAAGTCAAGCTCCCACTATTCCCGCCATTTTTCCCCCTCCCCGAAAGTGATAGTTTCATTGCCAGCTACTTGTTAAGGTAGGGTAAGTCAAGCTCCCGCAATTCCCGATGACAGAGAAGGTCACCTGTCAATCAACGAGAAGAACTGGTGGAGATGGACTAACGTCCTGAGACTTCCCCTTTTTGGATTTAATTACCTGTGCACCTGTATGAAATTGCAGGACATAACCCCTCATCATTGCAGTGGTAAAGAACCTGCTTTCCTGTCATCGGGATATAATACTCACGGCTATACTGTGAAGAACTAGCCAGTGGGTCGTAACCAACACCTGCGACCCCCCCCCCCATCATCAGCAACGGCTACGATTTCAACAACACAGTGTCACCAACACCAGACACCCCTATATATATTAGCATTGAATTCAGTTATCATTTATATTTTTCATTTTCTTTAATGTAGGATTAATATTTCATATTTAAGTGTTTTATATTTTATATTTTCTATATAATAAAGTGTTTATGTTTGTCTGTTATTATTTCTTTTTCTATTCATTAGTTTTCCTGAGGAGGAGCCAGCCTTGGTAATACTGTCTGAAGTTATTACAGGGCTGAGTAAGCCTTCACACTCAACATCCCCAAAACTGATTCTTTTTGTACTTACCCTTCAAGAATGTCATGCTGCAGAGTATTTTGCTATCATTTTCCAGTGTAACAATTGTATCTAAGATACCTGACATACTATGTACTGTTTTTTAATATTCTCTTGTAACCAAGATACCTGGCGGACCGAAACGTCGTAGTAAGCTTCTCTCTATGTGCGGGTTATTTGTGTATGTAACTTCTCTTAATAATCAGTTGCAACTAAAATTCTTCAGATATGTACATTCTGTAAATATTTCAATATATGTTATTTTTTCCCCTCTAGCAGGTTCGTGAATGACGCACAAGCAACCATGCTGCTCGTGAGATGTGCTGAGGTCACCAAGATGTTCCTGTGATGTGCTGAGGTTACCAAGATGTTCCTGGGATGCGCTGAAGTCACCAAGATGTTCCTGGGATGTGTTGAGTTCTCTCCTACACTTCTGATCCCTCAGTCACCTCTCCTGTCTCTCCTCTTCTTTTCTTCTGCTGCTTATGCCTACCGTACGTACTCCGCCCACACCATCTCTATACACTGAGTGTTAATATTTATGTGAAGCGCTAAACCCGTGTGAGATCATTCAGTTGCTATTGGAAGCTCGATCCTCCAGACACAATCATAACAGGCAAGACAACGGGGATTATATAAGAACAACTCAACCTTCAAGGAAGGGGAGATGCCTTAGTGCCAGTGAAGGACTCTTGTCTCAAGGAACTGAAGTCATCCTCCCATCTCTTGGATCGAAACCCATTTTTTTTCCATTCTATGACCCATATGGATTTAGCACTCCTCCGTGAATAAAATAAAATAATGGAATCTAGACAAGTTCAGTTTGTTATTTATTTTGTAAGGTTTTTACTTTAGATACTTTACTATTCTGTCTCTGATGAGAAATTTAGTAATTTATTAAGATAACTGTTGATTTATTATTAAGAGAACTAATCATTTATTATTAAGAGAACTTGTCATTTATTATTAAGAGAATTTGTCATTTATTATTAAGAGATCTACTCATTCGTTATTAAATCATTCATCATTAAGCGATTTAGTCATTGTAACTTTATTAACTTACAATTATTACAAGAACTTGCCACACTTACTGTAAGTGTACTTGTGTCTCCCTAGAATGTATGAACGCACGGCCTCACACCTCCATTAACTCCCGTAAAACTAAACAAGGTCAGGAAATTGTCTTGGGATTCAAGCCTTCCAGTTCCCCTTTCAACCTGAATGTGAAGGTCCAGGAGCTAGAAAATGCTATTTCCTCCTGGTCCCTGGAAGTGGCCATCTTCAACAACGGCTCAAAGGAATGTCTCACCGTGCAGGAAGAAGGAGAGAAGAAACTGTCAGAGGATAATCCCTGGCCCTCCCTGCCCATCAACACCTGGACGGAATTCACCCTAAATATACAAAACTCTAAGCAATTCTGGGTGGAGGTTAGGGATCCTACGCAAGTTAATACAAGCCACCGCTCACAGACCCGCATCCTCAATAAGGTGTCTGGCATGTTCAAGGCGACAGTCACTGTGGACAAGAAAAGTGAGGTCTACACGTGGAAATGTGGGATTGAGGGTGAGTGCTCATGTTGCAATTGTTGTTGTTACTTTTAATGCAGCGCTAACCTTTTGTACGTGGAGGATTTATTCTCCACCCCGTTATTAGCGACTCAGTCTATGATCAATCCAACCAGCTGAATGTTGAATTATGACCAGAGCTTTCGTAAGATGGGAATGGAAGAAGGTTGGGTAAGTATGGAAATATGGGAAAAGGGTGGTTGGGGTAGTGGAGGTGGGGTAATAAAGGTATGTGGACTTACCCAACCACTAGATACATTAAATCCAGGAGATAAGGTAATAGGAAGAGGTTAAGGAAAGGGAAAGCACCACTGGTTAAGTAATTAACGTGATGGCAGTAGAGATGATAAGTTAGAGGCATCTGTGGTATACACAAATGCCTCACTTAGTTTTGATATTCTCTAGTATGATTTTTCTTACCTCCCATGAAATACACTAAAATGTATTAAAAATTAATAAAACAGAGTAGAAAAATTCTAGAATGTAAAATGCTTGAGTCATTCTTGGTGTATAGAGTATAGCAAGGCCAAGCATAACTTTAATTATTGAGCTTAAGAGCTATGACGGCTAGAGCCGTGTAAGCCCTGCTCGCACACGTTGACTCTTCGAGGGAGGCGCCTTGATGCTAGGGAAGGACTGTATTTAGGAACTGGAGCTATTCTCCCTTTCCTTGTATCGAACCTAATTGTCATCCTTTCTCTAGGCGCTAAATGATCCATACGGATTTAGCACCTCCCTATTAATGTAATAATAATATGCAGGTTTACAGGTTTTGTTACTGATATTAGGTTTTAAGAGTTTGTACGGCACGGGGGCCTTGTAAACCCTTCAGCCGAAGCTACGAGGAACACTAATGTATTATTTATCTCCATCACAGAAGGGCCGGAGATGAAGATTCTGTTTTCGAGTATGACGACTGTCGGAGTATTCCTCTTTATTATACTGATAGTGTTCATCCTAAGAGGGTGGTGGAAGAGATGGCAATCCCTCCGCCCACACCCACCCACTCACGCCTACCAGACCCCGCCCGTCACGACTCAACCAAACACAGAGAACTACACAGTGGCAAGGTTCCAGCCTCAGCCCTCTTACTCCAGCGACAGCTTCCAGAGCGAAGAGTTCCCTGAACTGGAATACAAACCTTACTCTCCAGGTCTTCTAGCCCTGCCTCCAGCATCTCAAGGTCCCTCCAGTGCCTGTCAGGATCACAACATACAGAAACGAGACCATTTACTCGAGTACCACACAGGAACCAGCCCGACGGCTCATGAACGTAAGGAAGTGTGGCCTATCCCGAGACGTCAACAGGTCAGCTCAGTCATGTACGAAAGAGCCACATGGTTCTTAAGAGGGGTGGAATTGGGGGACTAGGGAAGCCTCCGAAGAATGGAGAGGTTAATCGGGGAAATATTTCATCTAACATCGCCTTTATATGTACTTGAAAAGAGTTATTGTCTTCACTATCAAATACCTTTGAACTTTTTTCAATTCCTAAGTCAAATATGGCACAAATTAAGGAATAAAATAATATACTTGTTGACCAGTGTAAATATAGAATGCAGTTAAAACCCTTCATCACAACCATTTTTAAAAAGTAAAAAAAAGAGCACCTCCTCCGGTAAGATTAAATTATCAAATAAATATTTAGGGTATGGTTCATATCCTAGGATATACATTGATCACTGGTTGTGTGGTTAACACTACCCAGCAAGGACTAGCGACAACCCCTAGCAACCTGGTCTAGTATCAAGTCCTAGCAGCAAGCCCTGGGAATAAAACCTAGTAGTATGACCTAGCAGAAAGCCCTAGTAGTGAGGCCAGCAGCTACTCCTAACTGTAAGATCTGGTAACAAGACCTAGTTTGAAATACTATATAACTCCAATAAACTATTATGCAATAATTTTAAATCAAGAGACAATTTACCATTTGCAATTTAATATATATATATATATATATATATATATATATATATATATATATATATATACAAACCGTGAAAAACATGGAAAATGTATTACACACTTAGAAGAATTTCTTTCAATCCTTGAGAGACAAAGCAATAAATCATCTTTGATAATTCCCAACTTATGAAATCTGCTCAGATCTGTATTAATATAAGTGATATACTTCTTCATACACGACACATAATGAAATCTGTTATGTGATAATACTTTGATTTTAATAATCCTCTTATACATTTATCTAACATGAAATCCATTGAACTTTTCAATGTGTAGTGATAATAATAGTTATTTGGAAAATATTTCCTAAAATAATACACTTCCTGAAGATGTTTATCCTATTTTTTTTATATTTTCCTACGAAAATGATGTAATGAAAAATAATGTTTCTCTTGATGAGGCCAAACTGGTAGAGTATCATCGCTTGACATCACAGTTTGGCTGCCTGATGACATGGCTTTGAGGAAGGTTGCAACTGTTATTGTAGCCCACCTAGATTTTGTAGTTAATGCCACGGACTAGTAAATTCAAGATGGCTGAATCGAGGCTCGTTTATTCCTTAGAAAAAAAAAGTGTCCCGTTGTTCAATTGGTAGCGCACTCATCTGGCATACTGAGTGTCAGTGGTTCAATTCCCGGTACGGGTGGAAACGTTGGCCATATTCTCTTACACCTACTGCCCTTGTTCACCTAGCAGTATGTAGTTAACCGGGTGTTAGTCGACTGATATTGGTGGCATCCTGGGTGTGGTAGTATACCTTAATTAGGGCTGAGTTTTAATATGAACTGAGGCAGGATAACAACTCTCAGCCTGTAAAACTGATGTGTAATAAACAGGTTACAAACGCTGGTTATATTTTTTCTGATGCATCCTTTAATAGGATAACTTGAGTGTCATAACACTTAAGTCAATATCATCCAAAATTTACATGTAGGTAAAAATTAAACAGAACAGGAGGACTGTATATTTCGATTTCTAACCGAGACCATCATCATAAATAACATGTAGGCTGCTCAGTGGGAAATGTAAAGTGGTGTACATTGTGCGGTGGTCACCCAAACGTTGTACTAAAATAGTGTTGAGGCGAGTGGTTAGAAAGTAAGTTTTAAGAGCTAACACAGATTAAATCTTTCCTCCACTGCTTGTGTGAGACGTTGGTTAACCAGGCTTAAAGCCTATCAATTATTCCAAGCCTCTTCAATGCTGTATGTCACCTGTTCACCACCAGTCAAAAATACTTTAATTCTTTAAAAAGAGATTAAACTCAGTATATATACACTGAGACATATACCTTTCTGTGTATATATCCTGCCATGAGATATTTTCATGAGGCTTGACTAAGATGCAATGTTTAAAACCATTATGAATGGTGAATGATATTTAGCAGATTCCCAGTGTATGTTGTGCTTGTTTAATGTGTTGGAAAACTACAGAATTCTGCTGACATCTCACTGACGATTTGTGTTCAACGATTATGAATGACAATGATATATAATACCGACAAGTTGATAGGTAAGACACATGTACAACAGTAAGGTATCTTTATCACGAAACGTATCCCCTACACAGTAGGCTTCTTCAGCCGAGTAAAGAAAGCGGCAGAAGCAGTAGAGATTTACATTGTCTTTACATCTCTACTGCATCTGCTGCCTCCTCTGTACGTGACTGAAGAAGCCTACTGTGTAGGCTCGATCCCTAGGGCACTCAGCTCACACACTGAGGTTCGGGGTTCGAATCTCTTCCGGTACGGCTGGAAAACATTAGGGACGTGTTTTCATAAAACACCTGCTGTCCCTGTCCCTGTTCACCCATCAGTTTAAAATGGGCACCTGGGTGTTAGTCGACTGGTGTGGTTCATCGATACCATGCCTGACCCTTCTAGGGTAGGGTAGGTGCCTGAGCCCGAGCCTTTAGCTCATAAGACTGTCATTCCCATTTGCCCCCTTGGGACGGGGATGACAGACCAGAGAGGCCTAGCTTGTGGCTAGGCCTGGGGACAGTTGGTCCCAAAGATGAGGAGGTACTTGTGCCTCCTCCCATGGGAGACTTAGATCTCAGACACTCCCTAAAGAGGGAGCCAAGGCCGGGCCACCACTTGGAAAAGGCCCGGGCCGGGAGAATACCGGCTAATCTTTAATAATAATAAGTCGACTGGTGTGGGTCGCATCCTGGGGCAAAACTGACCTAATTTGCCTGAAATGCTCAGCATAACAAACGGCTTTCTATATAGTAGTATGTCATTGATGTCAGCTATGGTCTTTATACCTTGTACGTGTACTTGTAGTAAATAAAGATATTGTTATTATTATGGTGGGTAGTTTCTCGGCCAGTTTATCCTGTGTAGATAGCCGAACAGTCTTAAAAAATAGAATTTCATAGCCTCCAGGTGTCAATTCTTACCATATATACGTATACACAAAGACATACACCTCTCGGTGTATATAACCTTGTGAAATGTTAAGCAGTGTGTATTTCTTACATACGTTGAGATACTAAAATGTTTCACAACTTATTAAAAGCTCACATAAAAATAAAGACAAATGCCATAAACGCCATCAAAATAAGGATAGGAACATCAACAATGTATCATACAGTTTATTTCTATCCACGAATAAATGAGGTAAAAAGATGGCTAACGGTAAATTGTTCTCAGGTAACTTTAAATGCCGAGAGGTGTGTCACTCTTAGAGGGAGGGAATGTGAAGGGAGAGATGGAGAGGAACGGCAGGAGGTAGGGAAGGGTGGGATGTAGAGGACTGAAGAGGTAGGGTATGTGTGGAGGGGGCTGTATGAGTGTGTGGAGGGGGTTGTATGAGTGTGTGGAGGGGGCTGTATGAGTGTGTGTAGAGTTGTATGAGTGTGTGGGGTTGTGTATGTGTGGAGGGGGTTGTATGAGTGTGTGTAGAGTTGTGTGAGTGTGGGTGTGTGTGTTGTGTGTGTGTGTGTGTTGTATGAGCATGTGTGAGGAGTGGAGTTGTATGAGTGTGTACTCACCTAATTGTGGTTGCAGGGGTCGATTCACAGCTCCTGTGGGAGGTTTGTATCAGTTTATGTGTGTGTGTGTGTGTGTGTGTGTGTGTGTGTGCGTGTGCGTGTGCGTGTGCGTGTGTGTGTGTGTGTGTGTGTGTGTGTGTGTGTGTGTGTGTGTGTGTGTGTGTGTGTGTATGTGTGTGTGTATATGTGTGTGTGTATGTGTGTACATGTAATATGAAGATGGGTGTTTGAGGGAGGTATACACAAGTATTCTCCTACACTACCTTCTATAATATTCAAGTGTTACTCAGCAGTTATTCACTTAACTTACTCACTCACTTACCCTACACATCTCTCTTGTAAGACACTGAGACAAACAAATTCCTGTCATTCACGACAGTGATAATGTATGGCTGGGTTCAATAACACGATTCATTCAGTATACATCTTATGACAACATTATAGAAATCCTAAATATATCTTCTATACACTGGGGGGGGGGTAGCTGGTGTCTTAATATACATAAAACAACTGGTCAAAATGAATCTACTTTCAAAATAGGAAGAGTAAAAACAGGTCTCAAAATATAGGACGTTTCGTCAAATGGTTAAGATACACATACTGAAAGTCGCTAAAATAATTACTCAGTTTACGTCCAAATCATCACAAAAAATAGTCAAATTATATTTCAGTCAACATTAGTCATACGAGTTATTTATAATACAGCTCTCATGTGGCGGGAATCAACACGGGACAATAAAGACGAATTTCTCACAATAACATACCGTGATCACCGTACTTATGATAGGTGTCCTGCTGGGAAGACTAGGCTAGACGTGACTAGGCTTTTATCATCATTATTATAAACTGCGACTTTAAGGTTGAGAATCTGACTCCAATCTTCAGGATTCTGATCCTTATGAAAAACATGATCTATATGCTGAATGTATGTATATATATATATATATATATATATATATATATATATATATATATATATATATACATGATTCCTTGGAATATTTTTTAGTCTTAGGTTGAATTTAATTCCTCAATGAAGGGAAACGAAAATATACGATGGAAATGCGAAGATATTGGAGGAGGAGGAAGAAAAAAGAAGTGTGGGAGAGGAGGAAGAGACAGTGGAAGAGAGAATGAACACTGCTCCTCACTAGGAGAATCATTATCGTAGATCAATGGTTCAGAGAACCGACACGTTGATAAATTAGACACATGTGCAACTCTTGGGTATCTTTATTGAGGAAACGTTTCGCCACACAGTGGCTTATCAGTCCATACAAATGTGACACCACCTATGACTGCTGCACCTCTCCTGCCTAGGGTTTATAAGCTCCTTCTCCGCACTTATGCCGTATTCTATTCAAGATTGATGGACTGACCACATCGACTCAAGGTTGAGGGACTGATTACCTCATTCTCCTCCTGTTCTTCAAGATTCTCCTTTGTATGGACTGATGAAGCCACTGTGTGGCGAAACGTTTCCTCAATAAAGATACCCAAGAGCTGCACATGTGTCTAATTTATCAACGAGAATCATTATCACTACTCATAACAGATAACACATGAACATCTGCTAAGTGAACTTCATTATTAAGTAGTATCCAGCTGAAACTCCAGTAGGCCGGGGCTGACTAGGCTTTGTACAGTGTCTGGTCTTCACACTGCATGAGAGATGACTAGGCTCTATATAGTGGTCTGGTCTTCACACTGCATGAGAGATGACTAGGCTTTGTACAGTGGTCTGGTCTTCACACTGAATGAGAGATACTAGGCTCTGTACAGTGGTCTGGTCTTCACACTGCATGAGAGATGACTAGGCTCTGTACAATGGTCTGGTCTTCACACTGCATGAGAGATGACTAGGCTCTGTACAGTGGTCTGGTCTTCACACTGAATGAGAGATACTAGGCTCTGTACAGTGGTCTGGTCTTCACACTGAATGAGAGATACTAGGCTCTGTACAATGGTCTGGTCTTCACACTGCATGAGAGATGACTAGGTTCTGTACAGTGGTCTGGTCTTCACACTGCATGAGAGATGACTAGGCTCTGTACAGTGGTCTGGTCTTCACACTGCATGAGAGATGACTAGGCTCTGTACAGTGGTCTGGTCTTCACACTGCATGAGAGATGACTAGGCTCTGTACAGTAGTCTGGTCTCAACACTTCACCTCCAACAACGGCGTAGTCGACCTTATTAAATAAAACAATAACAATTTATCAACAAAAGTGTTCCGTAAAGCTTGTTTAAGCAGGTGACGTGGCTCGCCAGTCAAAATAACTGCCCATCTTTGCTCTATACAGTGGTTTGGTAGAGAGACCTAATGCATGTATGATCTTATTAGGTCTATATTGTAGTTTGGTCGGAAAACTCACATCATGTTGGGGGAAGGTGGGTAGTATGACCACGCACTTCATAGTGACTGATCAAATAGAGTGATCTGTTCGTTTAGATTAAAATATGCGAGTCGTTAAAGAACACAAGAATGAGCACTGCAGAAGGCTTACTGGCCCATACAAGGCCAATAGGCCATTCTTGTTCTGTTCTTTTCATCTCATCGGTTGATTTGTCTCCTGCACACAGTCATTGTTTTCGGATGTGCTTTTAACATTTCCAAAGTTGGACGGGATGAGGTAACTTCGTCATTAGTTTTGCCTTTGTTTCTCTGTTGTCAGACTTGTCGAGTGCGCTTCCAGAAGTGGCGTTCCAGTCCTCCATTCTGGAAGAACGTAACACTGATCTTTGAGAGTTCATCTTCCATATTAACTTGAGTCTTTCCATGGTGTGAGAACAACACGCCTATCATGAAAATTAGACATGTGCAACATCTGGGTATCTTTGTCTTCAGACTCACGACTACGATATCGGCTCTTCAATTCCAAGGTCGAGGGACTATTACCTCATCTTTTGTATATAGTTCTACTGTCTTCCAATTTTTTTATTTTTTTTTATTATCACACTGGCCGATTCCCACCAGGGCAGGGTGGCCCGAAAAAGAAAAACTTTCTTCCAATTGTGTCCATGAATTTGTATTGATAAAGTCACTGGTTGGCGAAACGTCTACAATAAAGATACCCAGATGTTGCGCGTGTGTCTAATTTTCATCTTGTCGGTAATGTATACCATTCATGTACAACACGACTATTATGCTTGTGTTTGACAGAACTTGAAGACACGTAAGAGTATTACGATGGAGGAACATTGCAGTAGGCCTTCTTTAATCCAACCCCTTTTATCATATACGAGTCCAACCTATTTTTAATGCTCGGTGTGTTCTGCACCTGGTGTTGCTGCTTTGATTCTGTTTTTGGGGGTGTCATTTGATGGCCTTCAACATGCGTTGGGTCATGTTCCTGGTGCTCTCCAATCGCTGTGTTTTGTTCCTAGTATTCTTCAGTCACTGGGTCATGTTCCTGGTGCTCCGCAGTCGCTGGGTGTTCTCCAGTTACTGAGTCATGTTTCTGGTGGTCTTCAGTCGCTGGGTCACGTTTGTGATGTTTTTCAGTCGCTGGGTCATGTTCCTAGTGTTCTCCAGTCACTGGGTCATGATCCTGGTGTTCTCCAGTCACTGATTCACACCCTAGGTGTTCTTCGGCTGCTCAGTCTTTACCTGAGTATGTTGCCCGCGCCTACAATGCATACTCGACATGAAAAGGGGACTCTTAACTAAGTAACCTGACTAAAAAACACCCCTGGACGCAAGACCGACGTATTCAGGCCCTGCCCGTCTGCGCCTCCTGGCAGTTAAGGCGTCCTCAGGACGAAATGAGACGCCAGCAGCAGAGACAGGAAGGACGATGGAGTTACATAGGAAGCAGCGCCCGTAGACCCGCACTCAAGGTCTGTTTTAAGGGCCTCCATGATGGACTTGTCCTTCTTGTTGCTGCAGGGAGTCTGACGGAGGCGGTGAACTGTGTCCTGGCAGTGGAGGTACTCTTCCAGGCGGCCTTTGTCCACACACACAGACTGGCGCCACTTTTTCAACCATCCCTCGATCCATCTGCGGGGCGAAGATTCAGGTCAGATATATAAGAACATAAGAAAGGAGGAACATTGCAGAAAGCCTAGTGGCCCATACTAGGCAAGTTCTTCTCAAACCCAAACCCACTATCGGAAATATTTGCTTAACCCATTCTCAATGCTATTCAAGGAATAATAAGCTATGGTAATCTTATTAACTCATGTGCAGGTCCCTCTTAAATCCAATCCCTCTCACTCATGTATTTAACCTAAATGTGAAGCTGCCCAAGGTTTTAGCTTCTATGACCCTACCTGGCAGACTGTTCCACTCATCGATTACTCTATTTCTAAACCAATACTTTTCTATATACTTTTTAAATCTAAACTTATTCATTATTTCGAGTTCTTTCTTGGAGGAATATTCTCAAGACCTTATTTACATATCCTTTGTTTGTGCCTATCTTCCACTTATAAACTTGTGAATAAACGGTTTACAAAACCGACAAGTTGATAAATAAGATACTTGTGCAACATTTAGGTATCTTGACAAAAGTCAAGACTGATGGACTGAACACATCGACTACAAGCTGAGGGACTAATTACCTCAAACTCCTCATCTTCCACCTTTTTTCTGTATTGGACTGAAAAAGCCACTGTGTAGCGAAACGCTTCCAGAATAAAGATACCCAAATGTTGCACAAGTGTCTCCTTTATCCACTTCAGTCATGTCTCCCCCTCATTCTTCGTCGGTCCATCTGCAGAGTGAAGACTCAGTCAGACATGTAGTAAGAAGGTTATAGTTACCGACAAATAAAGGGAAATGAACACGAATGTATGTACTTAGGACAATGCCTGGTCACGGACCGGGCTTCGGGGGCGTTGACCCCCGAAACTCGGTCCAGGTATATTCCAGGTATCAGGGAACCATTATTGAAAACATTTCGGTCCTAGGACCTCGATCGCTTCCAATAAGTAGCCAACTGAAGTGTTCAAGGTCCCAAGATCAAAACGTTTTCAATAAAGGTGTCCCAAAGGTATGTATAAACTTGTGTCAATTTTCCAGAGGAAACAAGAGGTTAAAAGAAAGGGACAAAGTTCTAATTTTTGAGCTGAAAAGTAAGTCAGTTTGACTTTTTATCTTCTTCACAGCTAATCTATGTTCCACATAGTGACGTCACCATAACCACTAGTGACATCACCATGCACACTAGCGACGTCAACATGCCCACTAGTGATCTCAACATAGCCACCAGCGTGCCTATCAGTGAATTCAAGTGACCACTAGTGACCTCCAACATACCCCGGTGACCTACCCAATGCCACAGTCGCAGTTCCACTTGTTGTTATGCATACGTAGGTCAGTGAGGAAGACTGAGTGGGGTTCCCCTGGGTAGCCCGTGCTTGACGGCTCACCTAGCTTCTTCATTGTGTTGTTCACCGCTGATACCGCCACAAACCTGGACGGAGACAAATGCAGTATAATGTGATCCTTTATTGACGACGTTTCGCCCACACAGTGGACATTAAGTCACAGATCTGGTATGGTGTTTACAGCAAGCCAGTACTGTAGTTCTACAACACAAGTACTGTAGTTCTACAACACAAGTACTGTAGTTCCACAACACAAGTGCTGTAGTTCCACAACACAAGTACTGTAGTTCCACAACACAAGTACTGTAGTTCTACAACACAAGTACTGTAGTTCCACAACACAAGTACTGTAGTTCCACAACACAAGTACTGTAGTTCTACACCCCTCAAGGAAGGTTCCTTGATGTTGGTGAGGGGCTCTTGATTTAGGGAATTGGATTTGTGCTCCAGTTCCCCGAATTAAGCCTGAATGCCTTCCACATCCCCCCCCCCAGGCGCTGTATAATCCTCTGGGTTTAGCGCTTCCCCCTTGATTATAATAAAAATAATGTAGTTCTACAACACAAGTACTGTAGTTCTACAACACAAGTACTGTAGTTCCACAACACAAGTGCTGTAGTTCCACAACACAAGTGCTGTAGTTCCACAACACAAGTGCTGTAGTTCCACAACACAAGTGCTGTAGTTCCACAACACAAGTGCTGTAGTTCTACAACACAAGTGCTGTAGTTCCACAACACAAGTGCTGTAGTTCCACAACACAAGTGCTGTAGTTCCACAACACAAGTACTGTAGTTCTACAACACAAGTACTGTAGTTCTACAACACAAGTACTGTAGTTCCACAACACAAGTGCTGTAGTTCCACAACACAAGTGCTGTAGTTCTACAACACAAGTACTGTAGTTCTACAACACAAGTACTGTAGTTTCCACAACACAAGTGCTGTAGTTCCACAACACAAGTGCTGTAGTTCTACAACACAAGTACTGTAGTTCTACAACACAAGTACTGTAGTTCCACAACACAAGTGCTGTAGTTCCACAACACAAGTGCTGTAGTTCCACAACACAAGTACTGTAGTTCTACAACACAAGTACTGTAGTTCTACAACACAAGTACTGTAGTTCCACAACACAAGTGCTGTAGTTCCACAACACAAGTACTGTAGTTCCACAACACAAGTGCTGTAGTTCCACAACACAAGTACTGTAGTTCTACAACACAAGTACTGTAGTTCTACAACACAAGTACTGTAGTTCTACAACACAATTGCTGTAGTTCCACAACACAAGTACTGTAGTTCTACAACACAAGTACTGTAGTTCTACAACACAAGTACTGTAGTTCTACAACACAAGTACTGTAGTTCTACAACACAATTGCTGTAGTTCTACAACACAAGTGCTGTAGTTCTACAACACAAGTACTGTAGTTCTACAACACAAGTGCTGTAGTTCTACAATACAAGTACTGTAGTTCTACAACACAATTGCTGTAGTTCTACAACACAAGTGCTGTAGTTCTACAACACAAGTACTGTAGTTCTACAACACAATTGCTGTAGTTCCACAACACAAGTGCTGTAGTTCTACAACACAAGTGCTGTAGTTCTACAACACAATTGCTGTAGTTCCACAACACAAGTGCTGTAGTTTACAACACAAGTGCTGTAGTTCTACAACACAATTGCTGTAGTTCCACAACACAAGTACTGTAGTTCTACAACACAAGTACTGTAGTTCTACAACACAAGTACTGTAGTTCTACAACACAATTGCTGTAGTTCTACAACACAAGTGCTGTAGTTCCACAACACAAGTACTGTAGTTCTACAACACAATTGCTGTAGTTCCACAACACAAGTGCTGTAGTTCCACAACACAAGTGCTGTAGTTCTACAACACAAGTGCTGTAGTTCTACAACACAAGTGCTGTAGTTCTACAACACAAGTGCTGTAGTTCTACAACACAAGTGCTGTAGTTCCACAACACAAGTGCTGTAGTTCTACAACACAAGTGCTGTAGTTCTACAACACAAGTGCTGTAGTTCCACAACACAAGTGCTGTAGTTCCACAACACAAGTGCTGTAGTTCTACAACACAAGTGCTGTAGTTCTACAACACAATTGCTGTAGTTCCACAACACAAGTGCTGTAGTTCCACAACACAAGTGCTGTAGTTCTACAACACAAGTGCTGTAGTTCTACAACACAAGTGCTGTAGTTCGTGAAACTTACTTGACTCTGCCCAGATTTCTGAAGACATCACTGGGGACTTCTTCCATTCTGGTCTGGTAGAAGGTGAGCTGTAGCTCCCGGGCTCTCAGCTCCTGCAGGAAACCCATAGAATCAAATACCGTCAGGATTTTTCTCTCTTTTTTTCTTTTTTTACACAGGGTTTAACAAGGTTAGGTTAAGGATCCCTAGCTTTATTGACAAGCTATTTACAGGTTAAGGATCCCTAACTTTATTGACAAGCTAAGAGCTGTTACCTACATCAGCTCATTTGAAAGCATTTTTATTGTTATGAAACATACAAGTAGGGAACAGGATGAAGTTGAAGCCATCTATGGGCCAGCATTTTCATTTGATCAACTGACTTTATCTCGTTGACATCATAATGCTGTACGAATGTGTTCCATACTCGAGTCATCCTGGGTATATATGATCTCAGATGGAGTGATGTTCTGGAGAAGGGTACAGCCAGAGTGAAGTTGCTACTTTCTGCCCGTCTTGTAGTATAGAAGCTTGTTTCACGCTGTCCTCGAAGTGGATCCAAGTGTGGTACTCTGACAATATTGGCCTTGTACATAACAGTAAGGCCACCCACATCCCTCCTGTGTTGAAGGCTCTGCTGAAATGACAGATCTATCCAGGATGGGTCCAGATGAGAGATGAGACGTCTTGCTCTGTTCTCTACTCTGTCAAGCAGTCGCAGATGAGAAAGGGGGACAAGCAAACCAAGAAAGTGGAGCATACTCAAGGTGTGAACGTACTTGTGCCTCATACAGAATCTTACAACCCTAATGTCAAGCAGATGCGAGATACGGCGAAGTGCTGTAAGCTTCCTGGCTGCTTTGTTTGCAAGATTTACAACATGGTTCTTCATGGTCAGTGTGGCATGCAAAGAGTACGTAACCTTTATTCGGCGCACGTACACACCCTCATTTACAGGCTATCTCCCCCAACCAGCGAACCAGGTTGCTAAGAGTTGATGATGGGGCCCCGTCGTTCAACTAGTGACCAGGTTCTAGCCAATAAGAAGATGGTTTTGGCAATCGCAGAGGTTATGTGGGTACCGCTCTCCTGTCTGCCCTTGTCATTCCCATTCTAGAGCTGGTTGAAGCACGGTCTGCTATCTTGTGGCTTCTATTTCTGCCTTGCTTACCGTGGAGTGCACTATACTTATCACTGTACATAGTGTACATATTGCTGTTATAAATTGGTGAAGGATAATATAAGTCTAAACTTTATCTGCTGTGTTTATTTTGCTCCCATTACACCCGGGATAACAGGCCATTTGGAATCCTGGGTTGTAATAGTCAGTTTGGAGTCATATTTCACCCCAAGGATATCAACTTCTTCCAAAGGTACCAACACCTTCCCATTCATGCTTACTACTGCACCAGCATTACCATCATGGTGCCTAGAGGCCCTCATCATTTGCGTTTTCTCAGGTGCAAATGCTACTTGCCATCTGTTTCCCCAACCTGATATAGCTCTCAGCTGGTGATTGATGTAGCTTAGAGCAGCTGGCATTTCTTCTCTTGGATAAGTGAATGTCAGTGTACAGTCGTCTGCATATGCATGTGATTCTGGGATGAGATGAAGAAGGTCATTGACGCAGATATTCCATAACAATGGTCCCAGAACACTTCCTTGTGGAACACTTGCCCCAGTAGGATGTCTTGCTGATTCTGTTCCATTGAAAACTACCCTTAGAGATCTACCATGAAGGTAATCACTGAGGAGACAGCGTAGAGCCTGCAATTCCCAGTGCTTTCAGTTTTGCTAAGAGGCCCTGGTGCCACACCCGGTCGAAAGCACCACAGCGCTACCACACAGCTGACTTTAGATTCATTCAGTGACTGGTGCCACTTAGTAGAGAGGTTTAACAACAAATCAGCAGAAGAGTAACCTTTCCTGAAGCCATATTGACGGTCACAAAGTAGTGAGTGGCAGTCAAAAAACTCTGTTATTTGTCTTGAGATTATTGTCTCAAGGATCTTGCCAGTGATTGACAGGAGTGACACTGGTCTCTCTCTCTCTCTCTCTCTCTCTCTCTCTCTCTCTCTCTCTCTCCTCTCTCTCTCTCTCTCTCTCTCTCACACACACATTCCTGAGATATATTACAAAACGGGATAAATCCCATCCCAAATGAAAAGTCGAGAGACTGAATCGAGAATGGAGTCTAAACACATGTACAGGGCCTCCCGATTCTTATAGCCCCTGGGCTATAAGAACTGTGAGGCCCCTGGGCTATAAGAACTGTGAGGCCCCTGGGCTATAAGAACCGTGAGGCCCCTGGGCTACAGGAATTGTGAGGCCCCTGGGCTATAAGAACTGTGAGGCCCCTGGGCTATAAGAACTGTGAGGCCCCTGGGCTATAAAAACTGTGAGGCCCCGGGCTATAAGAACTGTGAGGCCCCTGGGCTATAAGAAATGTGAGGTCCCTGGGCTATAAGAACTGTGAGGCCCCTGGGCTATAAGAACTGTGAGGCCCCTGGGCTATAAGAACTGTGAGGCCCCTGGGCTACAAGAACTGTGAGGCCCCTGGGCTATAAGAACTGTGAGGCCCCTGGGCTATAAGAACTGTGAGGCCCCTGGACTATAAGAACTGTGAGGCCCCAGGGCTATAAGAACTGTGAGGCCCATGAGCTATAAGAACTGTGAGGCCCCTGGGCTATAAGAACTGTGAGGCCCCTGGGCTATAAGAACTGTTAGACCCCTAGGCTATAAGAACTGTGAGACCCTGGGCTATAAGAACTGTGAGGTCCCTGGGCTATAAGAACTGTGAGGCCCCTGGGCTATAAGAACTGTGAGGCCCCTGGGCTATAAGAACTGTGAGGTCCCTGGGCTATAAGAACTGTGAGGCCCCTGGGCTATAAGAACTGTGAGGCCCCTGGGCTATAAGAACTGTGAGGCCCCTGGGCTATAAGAACTGTGAGGCCCCTGGGCTATAAGAACTGTGAGGCAACTGGGCTATAAGAACTGTGAGGCTCCTGGGCTATAAGAACTGTGAGGCCCCTGGGCTATAAGAACTGTGAGGCCCCTGGACTATAAGAACTGTGAGGCCCCTGGGCTATAAGAACTGTGAGGCCCCTGGGCTATAAGAACTGTGAGGCCCCTGGGCTATAAGAACTGTGAGGCCCCTGGGCGATAAGAACTGTGAGGCCCCTGGGCTATAAGAACTGTGAAGTCCCTGGGCTATAAGAACTGTGAGGCCCCTGGGCTATAAGAACTGTGAGGCCCCTGGGCTATAAGAACTGTGAGGCCCCTGGGCTATAAGAAACTGTGAGGCCCCTGGGCTATAAGAACTGTGAGGCCCCTGGGCTATAAGAACTGTGAGGCCCCTGGGCTATAAGAACTGTGAGGCTCCTGGGCTATAAGAACTGTGAGGCCCCTGGGCTATAAGAACTGTGAGGCCCCTGGACTATAAGAACTGTGAGGCCCCTGGGCTATAAGAACTGTGAGGCCCCTGGGCTATAAGAACTGTGAGGCCCCTGGGCTATAAGAACTGTGAAGCCCCTGGGCTATAAGAACTGTGAGGCCCCTGGGCTATAAGAACTGTGAGGTTCGTGGGCTATATGAACTGTGAGGCCCCTGGGCTATAAGAACTGTGAGGCCCCTGGGCTATAAGAACTGTGAGGCTCCTGGGCTATAAGAACTGTGAGGCTCCTGGGCTATAAGAACTGTGAGGCTCCTGGGCTATAAGAACTGTGAGGCTCCTGGGCTATAAGAACTGTGACGCCCCTGGGCTATAAGAACTGTGAGGCTCCTGGGCTATAAGAACTGTGAGGCCCCTGGGCTATAAGAACTGTGAGGCTCCTGGGCTATAAAGAACTGTGAGGCTCCTGGGCTATAAGAACTGTGAGGCTCCTGGGCTATAAGAACTGTGACGCCCCTGGGCTATAAGAACTGTGAGGCCCCTGGGCTATAAGAACTGTGAGGCCCCTGGGCTATAAGAACTGTGAGGCCCCTGGGCTATAAGAACTATGAGGCTCCTGGGCTATAAGAACTGTGAGGCCCTGGGCTATAAGACTGTGAGGCCCCTGGGCTATAAGACTGTGAGGCCCTGGGTTATAAGAACTGTGAGGCTCCTGGGCTATAAGAACTGTGAGGCCCCTGGGCTATAAGAACTGTGAGGCTCCTGGGCTATAAGAACTGTGAGGCCCCTGGGCTATAAGAACTGTGAGGCTCCCGGGCTATAAGAACTGTGAGGCCCCTGGGCTATAAGAACTGTGAGGCTCCTGGGCTATAAGAACTGTGAGGCCCTGGGCTATAAGAACTGTGAGGCTCCTGGGCTATAAGAACTGTGAGGCCCCTGGGCTATAAGAACTGTGAGGCTCCTGGGCTATAAGAACTGTGAGGCTCCTGGGCTATAAGAACTGTGAGGCTCCTGGGCTATAAGAACTGTGAGGCCCCTGGGCTATAAAGAACTGTGAGGCTCCTGGGCTATAAGAACTGTGAGGCTCCTGGGCTATAAGAACTGTGAGGCCCCTGGGCTATAAGAACTGTGAGGCTCCTGGGCTATAAGAACTGAGAGGCTCCTGGGCTATAAGAACTGTGAGGCTCCTGGGCTATAAGAACTGTGAGGCTCCTGGGCTATAAGAACTGTGAGGCCCCTGGGCTATAAGAACTGTGAGGCTCCTGGGCTATAAGAACTGTGAGGCCCTGGTGCTATAAGAACTGTGAGGCTCCTGGGCTATAAGAACTGTGAGGCCCCTGGGCTATAAGAACTGTGAGGCTCCTGGGCTATAAGAACTGTGAGGCCCCTGGGCTATAAGAACTGTGAGGCTCCTGGGCTATAAGAACTGTGAGGCTCCTGGGCTATAAGAACTGTGAGGCTCCTGGGCTATAAGAACTGTGAGGCCCCTGGGCTATAAGAAATGTGAGGCTCCTGGGCTATAAGAACTGTGAGGCTCCTGGGCTATAAGAACTGTGAGGCCCCTGGGCTATAAGAACTGTGAGGCTCCTGGGCTATAAGAACTGTGAGGCTCCTGGGCTATAAGAACTGTGAGGCTCCTGGGCTATAAGAAACTGTGAGGCCCTGGGCTATAAGAACTGTGAGGCCCCTGGGCTATAAGAACTGTGAGGCTCCTGGGCTATAAGAACTGTGAAGCTCCTGGGCTATAAGAACTGTGAGGCCCCTGGGCTATAAGAACTG